CGAAACCGCGCAACGGGCGACATCATACCTACGACGCAAGGATCGGATCGGCTTTATAATTCGCTCCGTGCCGGATGAAATGCAACTTCGGCGAGGCCGACAAATCGTTCGGCACCGGCGGCACGTATAATGTTCGGGTGTGGCCGGTGGGATGTGTGGGCCACGAAGATCGTCCGTCGGAGAATGCGCTTGTTTCCGCGCTCAGGCAACATATGATAGTCGACGATGAAGCGGCGTCCGCGATAGTTCGGGCGGTGCGGCGCCGCCTGGAAGACGAGGGATGGGGCACAACCGTCGTCGGCAAGGACGAGCACGGGTCGGCCGACGACATGATGCTGGCCGCTATGGACGCCATAGAGCGGCGCCTCCCGGACGGCGTGATCCTGGATGTCCGCCTGGGCGAGTACCGCGACGACCAGTTCAAGGGGCTGGACATCCTGAAACGGATCGTCGGACAGCACCCTCGCCTGCCCGTGCTGATGTTCACCCAGTACAGCCAGGGCGTGGAACGCGACACCGTGGCCCGCAGCGCCCTGCAGGTCGAGGCGCCCGTGGAGTTCATCGACAAGCTGGCCTCGCCCGAGGAGGTCGCCCTGCGCATCCGCCGCCTGGTCGGGGCCGAGCCGCGTTCCATCGCCATCGGCGACCGTATCATCGTCGACACCGACGCGCGCGCCGTGTTGGTCCGGGACGAAAACGGGTGGGCGTCGGCGGTCGCGGACGTGTCCGGTCGCCGATTCGACATCCTGAAGGAGCTGGCCGAAGCGTGGTATCGCAGTCCCGGAAACCTGGTGCCCTTCGACCGCCTGGAGCGGTACCTGGAGGGCGACGACACCCGCGCTTCGTTGCGGGTCCGCATCAGGGAGATAAAAGTGTCCCTGGGCCGTGCCCTGGGCCTTCCCTTGGGCGCAAATGATTTTATCGTCAGCGTGCGGGACCGCGGATACCGACTGCTGCCCCCGCGTGAATAGAGCGATCCCATGGCGGTTTTAGCCCGACGACGCCTCTCCTTTCATCCGTGGCCAGCGCTGGTCGGGATCATTCTGGCCGTCCTTGGCCTGGGCTTGATGATCTCGTCGGTGTTCCTGCCGCCGGCACGAATCTTCACGGAACCGTGGTCCATCGAGCCCCTGTCGTACATCGGCGTGGCCGGGGTGGTCGTGGGATTGGTTGTCGCCGTGAGCGTTTACGTGGTGTCGGGCATGCGGCATCGTCATGCCAACGGCGTCAACGGCGCTGACGACTGGAACCGACTGACCGAGGAGCATTTCGAGACCTTCCAGCACGACCTGGGCCGCCCCATGCGTCGCATCCTGGGCAAGTGCCGTGAGGTTCGCGGAGTGCTGGCGGCCACCGGGGAGGACGTGTCCGCGGTCGTCCACGAACTGCTGGACGAGATCGAAGAGCAGGCGCCTTCGTTCCGGCTCATGATGGGCAACATCCAGGTCATGATCAACCTGGAAACCCCGGACGCCCCCATCGAGCGGTATCCCGTGGAGCCCTCGGCGGTGGTGAGCCGCATCGTGGAGCGTTACACCGGTCAGGCCGCCGAGCAGGGGAAGGATATGGCGTGGTGGTCCGAACCGGAAGATTTCGGTCTCGTGTACTCGGACGCCACCGCGCTGGAGCACATCATCGCCAACCTGGTGGACAACGCGCTGCGGTACGGCGGAGACTACGTTGAGATCACCGTCACCCGCGATTCCTACAACTTCCAGGTGCGCGTGGCCGATGACGGACCCGGCATCCCCATGCACTATCGGACGCACCTCTTTGACCGCGGATGGACGCCACAATTGGGTCGCAGCGAAGAAAAAACCTCCTCCGGCCTCGGTTTGTACATCAGCCGCACCCTCGCCCTGCGGTACGGCGGAGACCTGGCGGTGGAGTCGACCCTCGCGACGGCCGACGGACCCCACACGGTTTTCACGCTGACACTTCCCGTCGGCGCTCCCGACTCCTAGCGCCCCCTATCCGGCATCGGACCGTCATACGTTGCGGCAGCAGATTGTAGCCGTCACCGCTGCCCTCCTGTTGATGGCGTTGTTCCTGGCGGTTTGGCTATTGAACTTGCCGGGGCTGCCGGCCATTCCGTACCAGGCGGCGCGACCGCAGCCCACCGCAGCCCCTTCGCCGATCGTGCCCACTCCGGTTGTGGTGACCGCAACCCCGACCGCCACGCCCGACCCAACTCCCACCACCCTGCCGGCGTCGACCTTGCCGCCTACACCTACGCCTGCGCCGACGCCTACGCTCCGTCCTTCCCCAACGCCGCCGCGGCCGACAGCCACCCCTCACCCGCATTTCCTGGAGGTGCACGACCCGCCGGACATGGCGACCATCCACGGTCCTCCGGTTATCGTCGTGTCGGGTTCCACCCTTCCGTGGTCGATTGTCGAATTCATCTACTCCAGCAGCGCCGCCCCGGAGCGCGACGCCAGAGTCCAGGCAGACGCTGCTGGCAAATATTCTGTGCCGGTTCCATTGGGGGAAGGGATCAACGTGATCGAAGTGATCGGCTACCACGGTTCCTCGTCCCGGCAGGAACGGCGGTTTCTCCAGGTCAATTACGCCGGCTCCGGGGCCGAGCTTTCGCTGACGGTTACGGAGCCGAAGGATGCCGCCACGGTGAGGAGCCGCATTCTGACCGTCACCGGGCTAACCGTGCCGGATGCTGAGGTGATCGTAAGCGATTTGATCCCGGTACTGCCCGATGCCACGGGCCAATGGACTGCCAACGTACTGCTGCAACCTGGCGCCAACGCTATCCGCGTAGTGGCATCCCGTGGCGACGAAATCCTGGAAACAGTCATCACGGTCACATACCAGGCCGGGCCCTGACGTAGCCCGCGAAGACACGCGCCGCGTGGCCCGAACCGGCGTGGCGTCGGCGCTCCCGGCCCCCACGGTGAACGCCGACTCACCCGCGCACTGCGGAGCACCCACTTGCGTAAAAACGTCATTGCGAGCGAAGCGTGGCAATCTCGTTGGCGGATGTGCCTCCGTCCGGGAGGCCAAATCGACTCGTCGCATCGCTCCTCGCAGCCCAAATTGGGCACGTGTCAGGAAGCGCCCGGCGCAATACCCATAGGCGATAATGTGATATAATAGGTTTGGCGAATTGTCTTCGTGGTAATTTGCTTTTCTATGACGCAACTTGATGACGTAAAGAGCCGGCTGGACATCGTCGAATTGGTCGGCGGGTACGTTCAGTTGCAGCGGTCCGGCGGTTCCTTCAAGGCGAACTGCCCTTTCCACCAGGAAAAGACGCCGTCCTTCTTTGTTTTCCCGGACCGGCAGTCGTGGCGCTGTTTCGGCGCGTGCGCCGAGGGCGGCGACGCGTTTTCCTTCGTGATGAAAGCCGACCGCCTGGACTTCCGGGAGGCCTTGGTCCGCTTGGGCGCCCGCGTGGGCGTGACTATCACCGACCAGGCGGACACCGGAGACCGAACGCGCCTGCTGTTCGAGATCAATGACGCGGCGCGCCAGTTTTTCCAGCGCATGCTTGCGGAACCCGAGGCCGCCTTCGTCCGAGAATACCTGCACAACCGCGGCCTCAACGAGCGGTCGCTGCAAACCTTCGAGTTCGGCTACAGCCCGGCAAGAGACAACCGACTGCTCGCGCACTTGACCGACGCCGGCTACGCTGCGGAATCCGTCGCCGCGGCCGGCCTCGCCCGGGAAACGGAAGACGGACGTTTTTACGACCTGTTTCGGGGTCGGCTGATGATCCCAATCCGCGACTGGTCGGCCCGCGCGGCCGGGTTCGGAAGTCGAGCCCTGGATGACAACGCCACCCCGAAATATCTCAATACCCCTGGGACACCGGTGTTTGACAAGTCGCGCATCCTCTATGCCATGCACGTGGCCAAGGAGCCCGTCCGCCAGCACGGCGCGGTAATCGTCGAAGGTTACATGGACGCCGTGATGGCCCACCAGCACGGGTTCGACAACGTGGTCGCGTCCATGGGGACCGCCCTGACGGAACACCAGGTTTCGCTGGTTCGGAGGTTGACCCACCGGGTGACCATGGCCCTCGACGGCGACCCGGCAGGGCGTAACGCGACGCTGCGCAGCCTGGAATCATCGTGGGGTGTCTTCCAGCAGCGCGATCAAAGATCCGCCCGGCAGGCGGGCACATCCGTGCTGCAACAGCCGGAGGCGTTGGACCTTCGGGTCGCCGAGTTGCCGGCCGGCCAGGACCCTGACGACTACATCCGCCAATCTCCCGACGAGTGGACTGAGTTCATAGAATCTGCCTCCCCGCTGTTCGACTACCTTCTCGCGGCGGTGACCGAACGCGCCGACATGACGACCACGGACGGAAGGTCCTGGGCCGCGCAAACCATGTTGCGTTTCGTGGCGCACGTTCCGGACTTGATCAAACGAGATTTCCACCTCGACGCACTGTCGGCGCATTTCAGCATCGACGTTGCTACTCTGCGGGCTGCAATGCCGACGGCTGCGCGGCCGGACGGTTCCCGGAGACGTAGCAATCGCGCGCCCAGCGTGGCAGACCAGGCGCCGGCGTTGCCCGGTCGCGATAAGAACGCGTCCGAGGAGATGGTGTTGGCGATATTGCTTCAACACCGGGATCAACTGGAAGGAGATGCGGTGCAGTCCGTGCATCCCACGTGGTTCAGCCGGTCAGAGAACCGGGAAATTTTTAGTTCCGTATGTTCTGTTGTGGAACCGGACGCCAATGAAGACGTTTCGGTACCGCCGGAACTGGAGCCTTACCTAAACCAATTGCGGACCAGCGAACTGATGCTGTCCACACCATCCAAGGTGGAACAGGCCTGGCAGCAGGCCTGTCTCAATCTCGAAAAGGAGCACCTGAACAAGGAGATCTTCCAATCAGCCGATGCGATGGAACTAGAGGATATCTTTGAATCCGATTCGCAAATCGCAAACACCTGGCTGATCAATACGAACCGCCGTCGCGAGATCGACATGCAATTGCAGCCGGCCTCGCCACACCACAAATAAGGGAGGGGTTTATGACCATCATCAACAACCGCCGCAACGTAATCGTCCATGATGAAGACGGGGACTATGACGCGGGTGAAGCGGTCGCCATCTCCGACGACTCAGACAACTACGGTCGGGCCCGTTCCAACGTCGCAGCCGCCGACGAAACCGACTACGAAGACGACCGACGCGAAGAAGATGACGCGAGCGTCGCGGTCGTGATAGCCGACGACCCGGACTCGACCGAAGACGAATGGCAAATCCGCCGCGCGGCCGCCGTCCGCACCGTCCTCCCCGAGCTGGACGGCCCGTCGGCGCGGGACATGGAACGCGAAGAGCGGGATTGGGCCGATGTCGATACTTCCGAAGGCACCGACGCACTGGACGATCCGGTCCGCATGTACCTCCGTGAAATCGGTCGGGTCGACCTGCTCACCTCCGCCGATGAACGCCGCCTGGCCCGCGAGCTTGAAGGACTCAACCACCTGCGCAAGTTCGATGGCATGACCTACCTGTCCAAGCTGGACAACCCCGAAGAACTCGAAAAAGCGTTGGACGGACAACCGCTGCTTGAGACCAGGGAAACGTGCCGCAAAATCGCGGCCCGGTTGGCCAACGGCTTCAGGGTCGACTACCTGCCTGTGATCGGCGACGTCGAGATTGACAATGCGGTCTGGGAAACCACCATGCTGTTGTTGGCCCGGATCGCCAACGCCGCGCCGTTGGTTCGCTCCCTGACGCGCTATCTCGAACTCAACGAAGCCATGCCGTTGGACGAGGTCAAGGACTCCCCGGTCCTTCGGAAAGCCATCGATGCCGAGGTTTCACCGGAGATGGTGGAACAGGTTGCCAGCGATCTCGGGATCAGCCCGGAGGTCGCCTACCGGCGCATCGTCCAACTCTCGCTGGACACCTGGGTCTTGCCTCAGAACATCGTGGACACGGTCACTGGGTACGTGCCGATTTGGGCCGAACTGCATCCGGATGGCGTGGAAGGCTGCTACAGTCCCGAGCAGGGGCTGGACGTGCCGTCGGTGTACGTCCACGACGACGAATGTTCCCTGCTGTTGTTGGCCCAGTTGTTGCGCGACCCCGGGCTGATTGACGACGTGGAGGATAAGAAATTCGAGGCGGCCGGCGACTACTTCATCACCATGAAGAACGGCGAACGCGCCCAGACTCATTTGACCGAAGCCAACCTGCGTCTCGTGGTGAGCGTGGCCAAGAAATACATTGGCCGCGGCATGGCTCTGCTGGACATGATCCAGGAGGGCAACATCGGGTTGATCCGCGCGGTGGAAAAATTCGACTACCGCAAGGGCTACAAGTTCAGCACCTACGCGACCTGGTGGATCCGACAGGCCATCACCCGCGCCATCGCCGACCAGGCGCGCACCATCCGCATCCCCGTCCACATGGTCGAGACGATCAACAAACTGATGCGGCACCATCGCCGGCTGCTCCAGGAGAAGGGGCGTGAACCGTCCACCGAAGAACTGGCGGAAGCCATGGAGATGACACCCGAGAAGGTCGAGGAAATCCAGAAGATCTCCCAGGAACCCGTCTCGCTGGAAACCCCCATCGGGGAAGAGGAGGACTCTTTCCTTGGGGACTTCATTGAAGACCGCACCACCCTCGCGCCAGCCGACGCAGCGTCGGCACAACTGCTCCGCGAGCAGGTGCAGGAGGTGCTGGACACCCTCACCGACCGGGAAAGTCGCGTGCTGAAGCTGCGTTTCGGCCTGGAAGACGGGCGCACGCGCACCCTCGAAGAAGTTGGCCGAGAATTCGGCGTCACACGCGAGCGAATCCGGCAGATCGAGGCCAAGGCCATCCGCAAGTTGCGCCATCCCACCCGCTCCAAGAAACTCCGCGACTACCTGGAATAATTCCATCGGCTGGAGCCCCATCGCGTGTGCCGGGCAGTGTTGGACACTGCCCGGCATATTTTGGGGTCGGGCTGAGACCGGTTCCTCGTAGACTTTTTGTAAAACCGCCAAACATTGCCCGCGGATACGAAGGCAAAATGGCCCCGGGCCAGTCTATACTCCGGGCTGCACAACCCAGTCTGCAAAGGGTAAGGGAGGTAATGTCGGTGGAAGCGATGGAGTTGCCAATCTGTCAGCAGTGCAACATTGGGTCGTTGGTCCCGCTCTCGGACTACGGCGCCCAGGGTGCCGCGGTCCACTATAAAGCTTGGACCTGCACCAACCCCGGTTGCGGATACAACATCAAAATCCGCAACGGCGATATCTTTGTCAACGAACCTATCAGGGCAGGCAGGCACTGACCGCAATCGCCCGCATCAGCGGGACGTCCTGGGCAGGTCGCCGGCATTTCGGCGGCACGGAATCGCGCGCATGAGCAGAATATGGCGCGAGGAATAATCAGGGAACAAATATGCAGATCGGACTTGATTACATGCAGATGCGCACCCGTGCGCAATATTACGGGTTGCGCTGGGCAGGCATCGCTCTCGTGGCAGTCGGCGGGATACTGGCCGCTGCGGGCATCGGATACTATGGTTATCTTTACTCTGTAAGGGCCAATCTTGACAATTACGAAGCGCTGCGTCATGACGCTACGCTGATCGAAGCCGCAGCGCCCACAGGCAAGGGAGGCGGAACCGGGGCATCCATCGTGTCGTTGCCCGCCGGCGTCCTCTCCCAGCGTATGGCCGATTTGGGCTACACCGATACGCCCAGCGCCGCTGCCTGGCCTGTCGGAACCCAGCCGCCACCGTCCCGCCTGATCGTGCCCACACTGGGCATCGACGCCAAACTCGATGAGGTCAGTGTGTCCGGCACCTCCATCGCCAACTACGCCTCCGGAGACAACCCGGCTGCCGGATACGCTTCGGTGACGGCCAATCCTGGCGAACGCGGAGCGATGTGGTTGTTCGGGCCCGCCGGCTCGGGTGTTCGCAGCTTTGGAAGCATCACCCGCGCTCCCGATCTAATCACTCGAGGCGACGAGTTGCTGATGTTCGTGAATACCTCGGACCGAGACTACCTGTACGCGACCACGCATTCCGAAGTGGTTAAAGCGACCGACCTGAGGTTGAACAGCAGCGACCGGGCCACCATCCACCTGGTCTTGCCCGTCCCCAACGGATGGTACGACCACTTCCTGATCCTCAGCGGAGAACTGGTGGGCGTGCGCTAGGCTCCCGACGCGACCGGGCCGGCGGGCTATCCGGTTTTGCTTGGTTTCTCTGCGGCTGGGGGTACCAGCCGCAGTTGGTATATGCGGCGCCCCCGTACCTGCGTGACTTCTATGGAAGTCTGATCCGAAAGGACTACGTCTCCAACGGCCGGCATACGTCCCAACCGCGTATACACATAGCCGCCGATGGTATTGACTTCGCCGTGATCCAGTTCCAACCCGACAACGCGCGACACGTCTTCCACCGGGGTCGTCGCATTAACCAGCCAGGATCCGTCAGCCGCTGGTTCCAGTTCTTCAGCCACGGCGTCATCGAACTCGTCGTCAATCTCGCCCACGATTTCTTCCAGCACGTCTTCCAGCGTGACGATCCCCTCTACTCCGCCGTACTCGTCCACCACGATCGCCATCTGCAACGATTTTGACCTCATCAGGTGCAGCAGATCGTCGACGGCCATGTTTTCCACCACGAACTCGGGTTCACGCATCATGGCGTCAACCTGGGTTTCCGTTGTGCCGTTCGCAACCGCCTGCAGTACGTCGCTGATGTGGATGATCCCCACCACGTTGTCCATCGTGTCGCGGTAAACCGGAACCCGGGTGTGCCTGGTGCTGACCAGCATCTGCACCAGATCATCCATCCGGGTTGTCACTTCCACCGCCTGGACGTCCAGCCTCGGCACCATGATGTCCTGAACGTCAAGATCGTCCATGTGGCTGATGGACCGGACCATGTCGATGTCATTGCGGTCCAGGTTCATCAACTCCGCGGGCGTTAGCGTCGACCCGTCGGCATGACCGTTCTCCGTGTCCCCGTCAGGGCCGCCGTCAACCGCTATCGGCAGGCTCGCGCCGCCCTCGGAACCCACCCAATTTCGATCCCCCGTCCAACGCCTGGGATCTGCCACCCGGCGCGCCACTCGTGGGGACTGCCGGGCCCAAAACTGCGCGCCCAGGTAAACACACGCCAACACCCCGGATGTCGCCAGCATTGCCAAAGCCAGGGCGATCACGGCCAATAACCCGTTGGCCAACTGATACGCAATCGCCAATGCGGAGCCGCCGGCGGTGGCAGCGGCGGCGGCCAACAGGATTCCGACCGCCGGCGACGTCCGTCGGGTCAAAAAGACGGTCGAGGCTTGGCTCTCTCGTCGGGACGCTGCCGCGACGCTGGCCCAAGCAAAAATCAGCAGCGAAGCTGCCAGGAATAATAACGGAGGTAAGCTACTATCAGTATCCAAGCCAGTGGCCCTCAACCGGCACTCGCGGCGCCGAGAGCGGGTCAGTCGCTCCCGCTTTCTTGTTGCGGTAGAAGTCTAGCAGGAACGCCGACGGCGCGTCTACCCTGCGGCACATCACGGGTAACCACCGCCCCGGCGCCGGTCGCGGCGTTTTCGCCCACGGTCACCGGCGCCACCAGCATCGTGTCGCTCCCGATGAATGCGCCTCGACCGATAATCGTCCGGTACTTGTCCACCCCGTCGTAATTGCAGGTGATGGTGCCGGCGCCGATATTCGCGTCGGCGCCAATGTCCGCGTCACCCAGATAGCAGAAGTGCCCGGCGGCGGCGCCGGACCCAACGCGGCTGTTCTTGACCTCGACATAGTTGCCCAGGTGCACGCCCGCCTCGATCAGCGCTCCCGGACGCAGGTGGCTGTATGGCCCGATTTCCACATCATCCTCGACTCGCGATTCCTCGATGGTTGACGCCACCACGCGGCAGCGGTCGCCGACCACGGAGGCACGAATGCTGGAGTTGGGACCAATTTCGCATTCCTCACCTACGGTCGCGTTCCCAATGAGCATCGTGTTCGGTTGGACAACCGTGTCCTGGCCGATTGCCACATCGGCGTCGATGTAGGTTGTAGCCGGGTCCACCAGTGTGACCCCTTCAGACATCCAGAAACGGTTGATCCGATCCCGCAGAACCGCCCCGGCGGCGGCCAATTGCTCCCGGTCGTTCACCCCCATCGCCTCGTCGGCAAGGGCAATCGGCGCGGCTTCCACCGCATCTCCGGCATCCAACGCCATGGCCGCCAACGAAGTCACGTAGCGTTCGCCAGCAGCAGAGGTCGGAACTGCGCCGAGGCAGTTGTCCAGCCAAGCCCGTCGAAGCAGTAAACCCCGGTGTTGACCTCGGCGGGACCGTAGCAGATTTCAGCCCGATCTGCGGCTTCCTCTATCCCCAACACCATGCCCGTTCCGCCTGTCGCGCCACCACCCGCCCTCCTGATGTGCCCCAGGTCGGGGCCGAAAGCGTCGGCGGCGGACAGGATGGTCATCCGACGATGGGGATCAGTTTGATGGTCCTCCATCAATTTCAGCATTGATTCGGGCCTCACCAACGGCGTGTCACCCGCCAGGACAACAACCATCCGCGGGACAACGGGGAGAGCTTTCAGGCCGCAGGCTACAGCGTCAGCCGTCCCATCCGGCGAGCCCTGCACGGCGCAGACAACCTCATCCCCCAGGACGCGAACCATCGCATCCCTGTTGTCAGGAGATGCGACCACCACGATCCGGGAGACGCCGCACGCCTTCAATGCCTCTATGGGATAACGTATGAGCTCCCGGCCCGCCAGGGTGTGCAGCGGTTTTGGAATCCGCGAACGCATCCTGGACCCGCGCCCCGCTGCCAACACTATTCCCACGGCGTCGCTGTCGGAGTTGGTCGCATTCATACCCCTGCCTCGCGTTCGTCGATTTTCTGCACTCACGGTTGGCAGGATTATAGCAGCGGCGCATTGCCGGCCCGGATTGCACTTCCCGCCAGGTTATTCGGCGGCAAGCCTGGGGATTGGGAACCCACTTCACAATGCAAAAACCCAAACCGCTGCCCCTATGAGCAATCCGAGCAGCATCCCGCCGGCGTGGTTCACCCTGACCGCTGTGGACCCGTAGCCGAACTGCTGCTCCAGGTGGCGACCGAAGATTCCAACGCTGATTACGGTGATTACGCCGACGAACACCAGCGGTCCGTACACGAGGGCCGGAGTTGCGGCGTCTTTGAACAACCACGCCAGCCCAACCAAAACCGCCAGCGCGGTCAGCGAGAGCGCCATTCGCAACAGGCCAATGCGAAAGCCCCAGCCCATCAGAAAACACCAGCCAGCGAGGCCCAGCAAATGCCACGGCGAGTCGAAAAGTCCGAAAATCACGGGCCGATTGTGCGCCTTCACTGGCGGCGATGCAACCGAAATCCCGCTCCTCAATCAACCGTCGTGCGCCGTTGGTTGTGGCAAAATGACATGCACTCCAACCAGGACACACCTAGCATGAATATTGACCTCATACGCGCCGATGGACGGCGATGGGACCAGGCCCGCAGTGTACGCATCACGCCCGGATGCCAGCCCTTCGCCGAAGGTTCCGCCATGATCGAAATGGGCAACACGACGGTCCTCTGTGCCGCGTCGGTGGAGGAACAGGTCCCCCGGTGGATGCAGGGCCGCGGCTCGGGGTGGGTGACCGCCGAATACGATATGCTCCCCCGCGCGACATCCTCGCGTCGATCCCGCGACCGTGATTCCGGTCGCACCGCCAGCCGGTCGCAGGAAATCCAGCGCCTGATCGGCCGCTCGTTGCGGGCCGCCACCGACCTGAAAGCCTTGGGCGAGCGGGCTGTCTACTTGGACTGCGACGTGCTCCAGGCCGATGGCGGCACTCGTACCGCCGCGATCACCGGCGCGTTTGTCGCGCTGCAACTGGCCCTGGAATCGCTGGTGTCAGCGCAAAAGCTGGACTCTATCCCGCTGGTCTGCTCCATCGCCGCAATCAGCGTCGGCCTGTCAAACGACAACCTGTTGCTCGACCTGGATTACTCGGAAGATTCCACCGCCGATGCGGACTTCAACATCGTCATGACCGACGCTGGTTCGGTGGTCGAATTCCAGGGCACCGCCGAGGGCAATCCCTTCCCGCGCCAACGGGTCGGCGAAGTCCTGTCGCTGGCAGCCCGGGGCCTCGAACCCCTATTCGCGGCGCAGCGAGCCGCGCTGGGGTGAAAGTTGACGGTCCCGCTTGTGTGAACAGCATTGGCGTATACGCAACCGCGAACCGGATGGCGCATACCGCCAATGTTCAGCAGGACTACATGATGTCGTTTGCCGTAATGCGAGGGGCTTCATTAACGGATCGGTTTGCAATTGCGCGGCGAGAAGCATTTGCAATCAACCAGAGCATTCTCGGCGTCGTTGGCGCTGAAATAAGCCGTTGAGTTATTGCTGCGAAGGGTTATGGCGTTGGCTACGTGCTGCAATGCGGCGATCTTTCCCAAGTCCGCCATATAGACATACTCGTAGGCGATTTCCCGACAAACCACCTCGGTTCCTCGAACCTTGATGGAGTAAGGAGCTGGCGCGTTCCTGGCGGTTTGGGTCGCTTGGGAGGCAGCTCGCGTCTGGCTGACAGTGAGGGCGTGGCGGGTCTGCGGGATGGTGGTTGCGGCCACAACCGTTTGGGTGGCTCGCATGGCCTGACGAGTAGGATATTCGCGGGTTTGGCTCATAGATTGCAGCGTCGCTTGAATTCCCTCCGCAATTATGGTCTGGCCAATCTCCGCCTGCGCCATCTTACGTCCGTCACCATCTCCGGCTATAGCGGCATACCCGAATATGCCAACCATCAGCAACAGCACAGAGAATGCTACGGTGCCCCCGATAATCTGTATCCTCCGTCGATTGGTCCGGTATGCTAGGCTGTGTTGACATTTCATCGTAACCAAATGAGGGCAGCGGTAAAGTGAAGGAAGCCCAGGTATCTGGTGTCCAGCTTCTCAAACCGGGAGAATACCCGGCGATAGTGCTTGATCTTGTTGATGAAGCATTCCACCAGGTGCCGCTCTCGGTAGAGGCAAGCATCGTAGGCTTGGGGTTCCTTACGGTTGGAGCGTGGCGGTATGACCGGACGCATGCCTCGTTCCAGGATGTACTGGCGAAACTCACGGGAATCATACCCCTTGTCGGCAATCACGTACTCTCCGGCATGATCGGCGATCAGCCCCTGGGCCTGGGTGATGTCGTGCTTTTGCCCCCCAGTCAGGATGAACCGCAAGGGATTGCCCAAGGCATCCACGCTCACGTGGACCTTGGTGCTGAACCCGCCGCGGCTCCGGCCCAGGGCCTGGGCCGCCTGGCCGCCTTTTTGGGGGGCGCTCCGGCGGCGCAGGGATGGGCCCGGACCACGGTGCTGTCGATAATACGGTGCGGTCGATGATGAGGTATTCCAGATCCGGGTCGTCGGCGCAATGCTGATGCAGCAGTTCCCAGATACCCCGGTCGCTCCAGCGGGCAAACCTTTTGTAGACGCTGTTCCAATTCCCATACTCGGCTGGGAGGAGCCGCCATTGGGCGCCGGAGCGGGCCACCCAGAGCACGGCTTCGATGAAACGGCGACATTCCTCTTCCCGACCAACATACAGGTCGGCGCGTCCTTGCAGGAACTGGAGAACCTTGGTCCACTGACCTGTTGAGAGCGTAAGTCTTGACATATTTCCATTATAACCAAATGTCAACAGAACCTAGACAATCCTGGCAGGTGACCAAACGCCAGTTAATAACGGACCTTGCCGTCTGCTGACCCGACCGGCCTCACGCTGTTGTGTGTTGTCCCGTGGCGTAGTGGACGATGCGTGCGCTCTGCATATTTGGTCAACTCCGTACAGGAGCACAGGGTACGCTTGAGATACTTTATCCGGCATCGCCTTATTCGCGGGGTAACGGGCTACCCTCGGCTGTCTCATTTACAGCCTGTCGCAAAGCATCATTGATCCGGCCCTGCCAACCCGGCCCGCCTTCCAAAAAATGGGCCAGCAGTTCAATATCGAGCTCAACGCTGACCTCCCATTTGTTCAGTCCTTCCTGCTGGCGCCGGCGACGCAAATCCTGGGCCACCAGATGGGGATGAACCTCAATCGCCGGCCGTGACCGGGCCAACGTCTCGGCGGTCCATTCCGGGTTGTCCGGATCCCTGGCGATGCCAACGTTGATAGCAATTTCTTCGCCATACTCCGCAGCGATCTCGGAAAAGGTCAGTTCGCTTGCTACCAGCTCACTAAACTGCTGGGTAGTCGAATCAGGTTCCTTCGTCATACGTTATCACCTCTGTGGCACCCGACCGACGCAGACTGATGATACGGGTATTATCGCCCCTCACCGTATAAATGACCGTGTGCAGGCGCGTGCCAATATAGCCGATGGCGCGCCAACGCATTTCACCGTCGCGCGGGCTCGGCTCGCTTACCGCCGTTGCCCACTGAAAAGATTCTTCCACTTCCGCGAAATCAAGCCCATGTTTGTCGCGGTTCTCCCTGCGTTTTTGCTCATCCCATTCGTAAGGCATATTTCATTCATTTCATGGTCCTCAGCGACGGGAGTGGCAGTGTAAAGTCCATTTTATCCCACCACTGCCCCCTCAGTATCCAGCACTGTCAACTCGTAACCCAACTCTCGCAGCGGCTCCTCGACCCTGCTCCCGGTCTCCCACCACCAATACTCGCAACCGCTCCGTCGCGAGGTATTCCGCGCCCACCCGGTGGGTGTCGGCCAGGGTTACCCCGGCCAGACGCTGCTCGAAGGTCCGGAAGTAGTCCGATGGCAGGTCGAACTGGACCAGCGGTACCAGTTGGCCCAGCAACTGGGCCGGCCGCTCGAAACCCGGATGGGTAGCCCAGCCGCAAACCGTTCTGGGCGTTTTCCAATTCTTCGACGGTCAGCGGACGTGCCCCGCTGATGTCCTCGAATTCCCGCAGCGTTTCGATCACCGCTTCCCGAGTCACCTCGGTCTGGACGCTCCCGCCGGCGGACAGCAGCGAAGGCGCGTTGTACCAGGAAATCCCCGAGTTGTAGCCATAGGAGTACCCCTTATCCTGTCTCAGGTTCTGGTTGAGGCGAGCGGAAAACTGTCCGCCGAAAGCGTAGTTCAACACGGACAGGGGCATGTGATCCGGGTGATTGCGTTGCGCCAGTGGCATCCCGGCACGGATCACCGACTGGGCAGCGGCCGGCTTGTCGATGAGGAACAGCTGCGGGCCGCCGCCCGTCGTTCCGGCGGGGACATCGACATCTGCGATACCGTCTGCGCGCGACGACCAGTCGCCGAAATACTCTTCGGCTGCGCGCACCGCCTCTTCAAGGTTCACGTCCCCGGCCACCAACAGGCACAGGCGGTCCGGTCGCAACGCCTGGCCGTACCGCGCAACCAGGTCGTCGCGCCGCGCTGCGGACACCGTGGCCTCATTGCCCAGGCTCGAATGCGCGTAGGGCGACTCCGGTCCGAAAATCAGTGCGCCATAGTTCGAATCCGCCACGAACCCGGCGTCGTCCCGGGCCCGGCGCAAATCGGTCAAGCGCTCGCGCCGCACTCGGTCCAGTTCGTGGTCCGGAAAATTGGCGTTGCGCGCCACGTCGGCGGCCAACCCCAGGGCGTGACGCCAGTGCCGGTTCAGCGTCTCCGCGGTCAGCAGCGTCACCTCCTTGCGTGCCTCGACCGAAAGTCGCGACCCGATATACTCGAAAGCGGCGGCGATTTCCTGGCTGCTCCGGTTGGTGGTTCCCTCGTCCATCAGGGCAGCCATGAACGACGTCAGGCCCGGCAGCCCGGCGTCATCCCCAATCGCTCCCGCCCGGGCCAACACCGAGAGGGTCACCAGCGGAGTGCCCGTTTTGGTGACGACCGCGACTTCCATTCCGTTGGGCAGCCGAGCCCGCTCCGGTACTGGCGGGACGAACTCCGGCGTCGGGCCGCCCGCCGGCTGCTGGGTGCGATCCAGCGCAACGGTGGCGGTGCTGAGCGCGCGTTCCGGGTACACCCGCATCCGTACCTGTCCGGCTGCCATGATCTCGTGGTGCGCTTGCAGCACGTCTTCTCGCGTGACGCTGCGGTATTTGTCCATCGCCTGGTTGAGAGCGCCCGGGTCGCCGGTGAACACGTTGAAGTAATTCAGGGCATCCGCGCGTCCGCCGAAACCGCCGACCCGCGACAGCATCCGTTGGTGCTGCATCTCGATGCGGTTGACCGCCCGCTCGAACTCCTCCTCCGTCGGCGGGTCATCCGCGATGCCGGCCAGCACCGCCTCGGCCGCTGCCTCCACTTCGTCCAGCGTGTGCCCGTCCGCGGGCGTCAGCTCCATGCGAAACTGCCCGGCGATTTCCGCCGCGTGGTAGCCCACCGAGGCGGACTGGGCAATCTGCTTGTCATAAACCAGGGTCCGGTACATCCGGCTGCTCTGCCCGTCGGACAGGATGGCGCGCAAAATGTCCCCCGCGTCGTCGCGACCCGAAAAGTTGGCCGGAGCCAGCCACGCCGCGTAGATCCGGGGCAGCGTGACCCGGTCGGTCATTTCCAGGTCCACCCTGCCCGATAGCAGCGAATCGGCCCGGTCGATGCGGCGGACGCTTGGCCCGGGGTTCAGGTCCGAGAAGTAGCGGTGCGCCAGGTCGAGCGCTGCGGCAGTATCAATATCACCGGCGATGGCCAGGCTGGCATTGGACGGCGAGTAATACTGGCGGAAGAAATCCTTCACGTCGTCCAGGCTCGCCGCGTCCAGGTCCTCTTGGGACCCGATGGTCATCCAATGGTAGGGATGGGGAAGCGGAAACAGCGATTGCTGCATGTGCCACGACGCCATGCCGTAGGGACGGTTTTCGTAGCTCTGCCGCCGCTCGTTTTTCACCACGTCGCGTTCGGTATCGAACCCTTCCTGGTCCAGCGCGTCCAACAGGAACCCCATGCGATCCGCTTCCAGCCAAAGTGCCAGTTCCAGGTAATTGGAGGGCACGTCCTCCCAGTAATTCGTCCGGTCCCCGGTGGTCGAGCCGTTCAGCGTCGCCCCGATCTTTTGCAGCGGCTCGAAATGGCTGGACTTGTGGTGTCGCGTCCCACGGAACATGATATGCTCGAAGAGATGCGCGAAGCCGGTGCGGCCAATCTCCTCGTCCTTGGAACCCACGTGGTACCAGACGTTGACCGCCGCCACGGGGATCGAACGGTCTTGATGCAGAATGACATCCAGGCCGTTGGGCAGCGTGTGTTTCTCAAAAGCGATTCCTGACATGAGCGCTTCCTTTCGCCGCAAACGGCTTGAATGGAGATGGCTGGGCCATTGTAGCATCGGCGTTTACTTCGAGTTCCCGGACGCGAGCAACCCAGCGTCATTCGATTATCGAGATTTCTTTCTCGTCGTTCCTTATTTCGGTCCCGTCATTCCTGCGGAAGCAGGAATCCAGAGAATCCCTGTAACATCGAGCCTTGGCTTATGAGCACAGTCAGGCGCGGCGGTCAAACGATTTGCGAATAATCGAAAGACCCGGTGAACAACCCCGACCGCTTGCTTTCGCGGCCCAGTCGACCCTTCCCGAGACGTAACCATGCTCTACGAAGTAGAAGTAGTCGCCGACGGCAACAGCCCCATGGACCTCAATCGGGTCTTCGACTTGCTGACCGACCCGCGGCCCATCGTGCGGGTCCTGGCTCCGGACGCAATAGGGCGAGGATGTCTGGTGCGACGTGGTCGGTTGGGAAAACGGCGAACCCTGCCCCGCCATGGCCGCCCTGTCCGAGGACTCCGGCGAGGGCGTTATCATGCTGATCTACGGCGGCGAGGACGGCATCCGCCTCCGGCCTGCTGACGCCTCCGACGCTTGGGATGTCGGATCCGCCAGCCAATGGGGCGAGCCTTGCCTGATGCTGGGCAGTGACATTCGGATCGAGTACCTGCCTGACGGGTGGGACTACTCCCAGCACCCGCACTGACCCTTCACCGCCTTACTCCGCCGGCGCCTCGGCATCCCCGTCCTCAGGTTCGTCGTCCCATATATCCGGCTGCACCTTGATTTCCGCCGTCAATGTCGTCAGAACCCCCGGCAGGTCGCGCCGGTAACCTCCGACGCGGTCCTTGCGCGCTCGCAGGCGCGCCGTCGGTCCGCCCTTCAGCTGTCGGTACAGCTCGTCACCGTCGTTATCCAGGCAGTCATCCATAGCCAGCGCGGCCACATAGGATCGCCGGGCCGCTGAAGTCGCCTGGCGCTGCATGATCTCCTGGTACAGTCTCCAGCAGGCGGGGCTTTCCAACGCGCCCCTAGAACAGAGCAGCGCCACCCGGTCGAAGTCTTTGAAGCGGCTCATCGGGGGGATCACCGAGGTGTTGTACGCCGCTTCCTCGTCGTCCGCCAGGAGACTCCAGCATTGCAGCCCAAGCGACCTCAGTTCCGTCTCCAGCCACCTCACGACGGTGTCATCCGCCACTGAACCGATCAGGAGGACCCGCCGGTGGGGAATGGTCTGATCGCCTGATCCGGCCTGACTGTCGATGAACTCCGGCGGCACTCCGGCCGGCCGCAGGAAGGACTCGGGTATTCCGCCGTTGGAACGCGCCAATGTGTCCGCCCCGACCATGCTTGGCCCATCGTGGCGCAATGTTTCCAGCCCCAACGCCGCGCTCAGATCGCAGTCCGCGAACAGGGTCATATCGAGAACCACGTCCTCCAGCAACGTCCGATCCAGGCGAGTCCGCACCAGCGTCGCGCGCCGCAGATCGCAGCGGGTGAGATTGGCCACGTCCAGGCACGCCGCGCTCAACTTGGCCCCGCTCAGGTTGGCGCCGGTCAGGTCTGCCATGGTCAGATCGGCTTCGGTCAGGTCCGCCCCGGCCAGGTTCGCGCCCACCAGCGTCGCGAACGCAATGTCGCAGTTGGAAAGGTCGGCTCCCCGCAGGTCCGCGTTGTCGAGGTTGCTGCCTCTAAGGTCGGAGCGCAGGAACGTGGCCTCAGCCGCATGCGAATCCGCGAAGTTTGCCCGGTTGAGATTGCAGCGCGACAGGTGCGCCCCTCTCAGGCGGGCTCCGACGAAATTGGCATGCCTCAGATCTGCCGACGTCAGGTCGATCTGGGTCAGATCGTCGTACCCCAAATCGACGCCGGGCATCTTGATCCCGCTGAGGTAGGCGCCCGAAAGATCCAGGCGCGGGCGGCTTTGAAACTCGCGCGCCCGCCAGCGCGCTATGGCGAAGGTTCGCCTCTTGGCGATAGCAACGTGCTCAGGGTTCGCCAAGCAACTGCTCCAACGCTGCCGTCCTCGCGCCTAGTCGTCGCCGACCGGAAGGACAGCCTCTCGCTCCGCGAAGGCCGGCATCACTTCGGCAGCGAATATGGACAGTTGCTCTCGGAACTCGCTCCACGGCATGCCTTCCGGCCACTGGAGCACGATGTCCTCCAGGCCGGGATACTTGTCCTCAATCTCGCGCAGGAACGCTATGAAGTCGTCCGGGTTGCCGCAGAACCAGGCTTTTTGCTCCACACCGTCTTCGACGCGCGGCGTTCGGGCCGGCGCGCCCGGCGTTCCCCACGGCCGACCCTGCTCGTCGGTGTAACGCACGAACCCAAAGGGGGCGAACCATTTGTAGCGCTCGTCGTGGAAGGGTCGCACCTTTTCGATGGCCTCTTCCCGGCTGCCCGCGATGTAGAAGCCAAACCCCAACGCCATGTCACCGCCCAGCGGGATGTCGCGACCCGCTTCCGTTGCGGCGTCGTGATACTGGGTGATCATCTGCTCCGCGTACAGTTCGCCCGTCAACGCCACCATCGCCTTGATGCCCCTTTCAGCGATGTAGTTCAGCGTCCGTCCGCTGGCGATAGGTTGCCAGATCTCCACCGGATTGCTGACCGGCCGCGGCACCATGGTGATTTCTTTCAGGTCATACCCCCGATAGGGCACCTGCGGCGGGATCGTGTAGTACTTGCCGCTGTGGCTCCATGAGTCCTCGTTGAAAGCCTTCAGGATGACTTCCATCTGCTCCAGGAACAGTTCGCGGTTCGCGTCGTTGTCAATCACCGGCGCGCCGAACGTTTCCACCTCGCGGCTGTGATAACCACGACCGACACCGAATATCATGCGCCCGCCGGTCAGGACGTCGGCCATGGCGAAGTCTTCGGCCACCCGCAGCGGATGCCACATGGGGATGATGTTGAACGCCTGCCCGAACTTGAGGTTCTTGGTCTGTCCCGCCAGGTGTACTCCCATGAGGATCAGGTTGGGAATGCACTCGTAACCCTCGTGCTGGAAGTGGTGCTCCGCCATCCACATGCAGTAGAACCCACGCTCGTCCATGTGCTTGGCCAGCGCTTCAGCGTGATCGTATGCCTGGATCAACTGGTCGTTGGTGTAACGCCGCTGGTCGGCCGGAGTCCCTTCCGCGCCAACGTTGTCCAGGTCGATCTGCCCCACGTACAGAACCGAAAACCGCTTAATCATCCAATCAGTGCTCCGCTCGAATAGTGATCGCGGCGCATTATATCACGCGCCTTTTTTGATCGTTTTGCCTGACGCTTTGGAGCCCCCCGACCTGGCCGGCCGTACCCCGCGCAACTGGGGTGAGTGTGCTACAAGATGGCCTGCAGGGCCATCCGGTTTCCCTCAATGTCATTGCGTCGGTTTCCCTGAATGTCATTGCGAGCGAAGCGTGGCAATCTCGTTGCGTGAGCCATGACTCTTGCCAAAAACCGCTGCGTCGACCCGCGCCCTCCGCCTCGTATCATTGCCTTCCACGATAATCGAATGACCCTGCCCGCGACGGACATTCATAGCAGAGGTCAACCCGCTATAATTCCACCGTTCCGATTTCACCTGACATAAGGGAGGAGTTCCCATGGATTTGACCCTGAACGGTAAGGTTGCAATGATCACGGGCGGCAGTCGTGGTCTCGGTCGTCAGTGCGCCCTGGCCCTGGGCCGGGAAGGCTGTGCGGTCGCCATTTGCGGACGCGACGGCGAGCAGGTTGAGCAAACCGTGTCCGAGCTGACCGCGCTCGGCATCAACGCCAACGGCAGCCAGGCCGACGTCACCAGTTCCGACGACGCGGACCGGTTCCTCCAACAGACCACGGCGGCCCTGGGCGCTCCCGACATTCTGGTAAACAACGTTGGGGGCCGCCGCGGTTCCGTCCTCTTCGACGAGACCTCGATCGAACAGTTTGTGGAAGGGTTGGAGGTCAACCTCATTTCAGCGGTCCGCATGACCAAGCTGGCCTTGCCTCACATGCAGGCCCAGGGCTGGGGCCGCGTAATCAACATCGCCTCGATCTACGGCCGCGAACACGGCGGTTCCGTGGACTACATGACCGGCAAAGCCGGGATGATCGCCTTCTCCAAGCACCTGGCCCTGCAACTGGCCCAGACTGGCGTGCTGGTGAATTGCGTGGCCCCCGGCAGCATCGATTTCCCCGGGAGCACCTGGGACCGTTTCCAGCAGAACAACACCCCCGAGGTTGTGGGCGAGTTCATCGACCGCAATCTCCCCATGGGCAAGTTCGGCTGGCCGGAACCCATCGGGGAAACTGTGGCGTTCCTGGCCTCGGATCGGGCGGGCCTGATCACCGGCGCCTGCATCAACGTGGACGGCGGTCAGTCCAAGTCACTGTTCTAGCCGACCGCGCCGCCCCGAAACCCGGTGCACCCAAACCCCGAGACGCGCCGTGTGAACCATCGCCGGCGCGTCTCGCTGATCTCGATCTTATCGGACGGCCACTTGACCGCCGATCCCTATGACTCTGCGGTCAGCCGGCCTGGTGCACCGTCCCAACAAACTCCATCCAGGCTTCCACGCACTTTTCTGGCGCGGAGTGCTGCACATAACCCCCGGCTCCCGGGACCCGCGCCAGGGTGCAGTTGGGCATCCGGTCGGCCTGCCCTTGCGCGCGGTCGGGGATGTCGCCCTCGCTCAGTTCGCCGACCATCGCCATCGCCGGCGTATGGATTGACGCCAGTTTCTCCGTCAGGTTCTGCGTGCCCAGGTACGCCAGCGTCTCCAGGACCACGTGGCGGGACGTCTGGCCCATCTGCTGGATGTACCACTCGTGATGCCCGGGAGCCGCGGTCGCGCTGACCCGGCGTCCTCCGGTAGCCCGCGCCCAGCCTTCCACACCCTCTTCCTCCACCAGCCGATGGTAATTCTGGTACGTGTCAACGCCCGTGAAGTTGTAGGGCGACGTGCACGTCGTCACCGTGTGCAGCCGTTCCGGAAACTGGTAGGCGAATTGCAGAGCGATGGTGCCGCCGATGGTCTCTCCGATCAGGTGCACCTTGTCCAGTTCCAGGTAGTCGAGCAGGTTCCGCAGGTCTCCGGCGAAGCCCTCCAGGGACCAATCGTAACCGGGTTCCGGCACCGTTGAACGGCCGAAGCCTCGCGCGTCCACCCGGATCACCCGGTACTGCCGGGCCAGCAGCGGCGGCCACGCGTACCACAGCCGGGCATTCTTGGCGTTGCCGTGATGCAGCACGATGGTCTCGACCGACGCCGGCTCCCGCCAGGGATCGGTGTAGTTATCGTCGTCGTAGTACATCTCCAGGTCGCCGGCTAGCGGGGCAATTGGCATGGTCCTCTCCTGCGTTTGATCGCCTGTGTGGGGCAGAGCCCGGGTACTTGCGGGCGCGTTTGCAACGTCAACAGCTAAACGTCGAGACCGCCGCCCGGTGTCTGATCGGTCAGTGGGATCTGCACGCTGACTCGATCAACATCACCGACGCTGCGGGTCGTGTGGCCGCGGCCGCTCAGGTCCTCGCACAGTTCGATGTCGCCAATGTTGAAGATCCGCTTGGTGCCATCGCCCAGCCCAATCTCCACCTGGCCCTGCAGCGTGATGACATACTGCCGTCGCGGCGCGGTGTGAAAGTCCACCAACTGGGTGGGTTTCAAGCTGCTGAACTGCACGCCCGTGGCCGCCTCGGTCGCGGTCCTCAACGCGTGGCCCACCTGCTCGAAGGGCAGCTCCATTTCTTCGATGTGCGATTCGCCATCCTCGCCCGTGTAGATCCTGACTACCTGCATTTCCTGTCCTCCGGTTCCGCGTCGGTTGGCGTCATCATAGCACCGGTGACCCCTGAATGCTGCTGCTGCCGTGCGCGCAGATGTCCAGCAGACAACAACCGTGGCAGCGCGGCGCATTCTTCGTGCAGGCGGCCTTGTGGTGATGGTCCAACAGGGCGTGAAACTCATTGAACAGGGAGACATCGGCCGGCAAGTTGGCATGGAACAACGCCTGCCACCCTTGGTAGTTGTCGCGCTCCATCGGTGAATGTCCGACCCGCTTCAGGATCCGGATGGTGTAGGCGTCGATAACGAAAGACGGCTTCCCGGCCGCGTACACCAGGATGTCGTCCGCAGTTTCCGGCCCTATCCCGTAAATGCCCAAAAGCTCACCCCGTACCGTCTCCGTGTCCGCCGCGAACATGTCGTCCAGGCTGCCGCCGTAGCGCTCGCACACGTGAGCTGCAAACGCCTTCAGCTTGCGCGCCTTGGCGTTGAAGTAACCGGACGGCCTCACCAGTTCGGCCAGCGCCTCGACGGGCAATGCGTGGATCTCCGGCCACCCGTCTATCCCAGCGGACAGCAGGTTGTCCAACGCCAATTCCACGTTCCGCCACGCGGCCGCCTGGGTGAGGATGGCCCCGGCGATCATCTCAAACCGGCTGGCCGCCGGCCACCAACCCTGCGGGCCGTAAGCGTTCAGCAACCGCCGGTATATCTCCGACAGCCCGGGCTGCGTCTCGGCCGTGTTCACCTGCATCGAACCAGGCGGGAGTAGCAATGGAACATCGGGATCACAGCAGCACTGGCACCGCGTCGGCAAGTTCGATGCCTTGCTCACTCAGGCTACACCGGTACGCCCAAACCGCCACTCCGGCATCGTGCGCCTGCCTCAGCGTCGCGCCCAGTAGCGGGTCTGCTTCGTCGTGCGGCGCGAACGCCTCCACGTCCGCACGTTGGATCACGAATACCACCGCGCCCTGGTGTCCCTCCTCCAGCGCCGCCATCAAACTGCGCAGGTGTTTCACTCCCCGAATGGTGGGAGCGTCCGGAAACAAACCCACGCCATCCTCAACCAGCGTAACCGACTTGGTCTCGACGTAGCATTTGCCCGCGGGCCCTTCCAGCAGGAAATCCAGGCGGCTATCCCCATAGACTTGCTCCCCTCGCGCCACCGGGTAGCTGCGGAACTGCGGCATACGCCTCTGTGCCAACGCCTCGGCCACCAGCTTGTTGGGCAGGCGGGCATCGGCGGACGACAGCGCGCTGCCGGTGTCCACCAGCGCCAGATCGTAGCTCGTCTTCCTGCCGGTTCCGCTCGGAGCCGGCGCCAGGAGGACGCGAAACCCCGGCACCAAAAGCTCGCCCATGCGACCCGAATTGGGCACGTGCGCCAGATATTCTTTGCGTTCCACGTCAACCAGAGCCGCGAAACGGTTCAGTCGCTTGATGAATCGCCCTTCAACCAAGGGAGGGAAGCGCACCGGAGTTCTCCTGCAGCGTTCGTTTGCTTCGGTGCCGTCCGGCCGGCATTTGCCCGCGGACACCACCGATTCGGATCTAACCGAGCATTTAACAAAAGCGTAATCAGTTCGTAATCGTCCGTTAATCCCTTATGCCCAATATAAAACCATCGGCAGCGGCCTTCCAATCTATCCGTTTGTTGCTGATGAGGTTCGGCGATGACCACGCACGGAAGTTATCAAACCTACAACGTCGCGCCTCGCGTCCTCCTGTTGGGACCGGGTTGGGAAATGATCCAAGGCGCACTCGCCGCCGCTTCTGATACCGGCGCCATCGAGGTGATCGGTGCGGATTGCGATTACGACGCGGACTTCGACTACGGTGTCGATTCTCCTACGGTGTTGCTCCTGTCTCCGGACGCGGATCTGCCCGTGCAACCGGACGATGACAACGGCCCCCTGGTGCTCCGATGCGTCGCCGACGATGATTTGGATTCGCCCGATCTCTACGAAGATTCCGATGACTTCGTCGCCGTGCCCTGCGCCCCCACCGAACTGGTCAAACGCATCCTCCGCCTGGCTCAACGCCGGGCGATTGAATTGGGTTCGGCCGACTCGATACGGGTGGGCGGGATTTCGCTTAACCCGGCCACCTACCAGGTTAGCGCCAACGGTCGCCCGGTGGACCTGGCTTGGTTGGAGTTCCAACTCCTGCATTTCCTGATGGACAACGTGGGCAAGGTATTCACCCGGGACCAGCTGTTAGCCAACGTCTGGGGAGTGGAAAACATCGGCGGTACACGCACCGTGGATGTCCATATCCGCCGCCTGCGCTACAAGCTGGAAAACGGCGCCGAGACTTATTTCCGCACCGTCAAGAACGTCGGGTACGGCATGATTGAACCGTAGCCGCCTGGTCTCCTACAGAACGAATACCTACAGAACGGAAACCTACAGATCAAACACCCACAGCGCGGAAAGGGGCGAATTCGCACTCGCCCCTTTTTGTGTTGACCGGTATCCAGCCGTGGCTGCTACCACTCGGCCGGCAGGCTCACCACGCCGCGGATGTTCAGCAGGTTATGGTACTCCAGCTGGTTCGGATCGCTGGCGAACTTGAACGGTGGGAACTTGCGGGTCAGCGCCCGGAACGCTTCCTGCCCTTCCAGACGAGCCAGGTTGGCTCCCAGGCAATGGTGGATCCCGCCGCCGAAAGCGACGTGCGGATTCGGGTAGCGCGTGATGTCCAGATCCTCGGGGTTCTCGAAGGCCATCGGATCCCGGTTGGCGGAGTTGATGATGGTCATCACCTTCTCACCTTCGCGGATCTTCTCGCCGCCCAGTTCGATGTCCTCCAGCGCGATACGCGGGGCTCGCTTCACCGGAGAATCGTAGCGGAGCAGTTCCTCCGTCGCGCGTACCAGGAGGCTGTCGTCCTCCTTGAGCATGTTCCATTGCTCGGGGTTCTTCATCAGCGCCATGGTCCCGTTGCCCACCAGGTTGATCGTGGTCTGGTGGCCGGCGATGAGCAGCAACAGGGTGTTGCCCAGCACCTCTTCCCGGCTCAGTTCCCCCTCGCGTTCACCGATAGCCAGGACCGACAGCAGGTCATCGGATGGTTCGCTGACACGCTCTTCCACCAGTGGGTTGACATAATCATTCAGGGTGGTAATGGCCTCGTGTACCCGGGTGTGCCGGTCCGGCGATTCCTGATCCAACGACAGCAACTGCCGGGACAGCGTTCGCAGGAACTCGCGGTCCTCCGCCGGCATCCCCAGCCAGTTGGCGATAACCAGCACCGGCATGGCATTGGCGAAGTCCCTTAGCACATCCATATCCCCGCTTTGCGGATCAAAGTCTTTCAAGAGGTCCTGGATGATGCCCTGTACCATCGCCCGGAAACGGTTGTCGATGTACTTGGGGTTGAACACCGGATGGACGGCGCGCCGCATCCGCAGGTGATCGGGCCGGTCCCGGCGGATGAACCAATTGTTCATGTAGTCGAGATTGAACTTGTACTTTGAGAAGTCCTCTTCCGAAATCGGCGGACTGGGTGGCTTATCGTCCCGCAGGAACACCTCGGACGAGAAGTACTCCGGATGGCGCAGCGACCACACCACCGCCTGGTATGACGTGATCACCCAAGTGTCGAACTTCTCGTTCCAGTAGACCGGCGCTTCTTCCCGCAACATCGCGTAATACGGATACGGGTTGCGCAGGTTTTCCGGTGAAAGCAATTCGTCGTGGATTCGATCTTTCAGCATAGTTGCGGCCTCTCATCCAACTGGGGTGAACATGTTTGAGTGACAATGTAGCGGCAACGCGTTTCGAGTGTCAACTTGCGCGGTTGCGGCGCAGCACGCGCACGTTCCACCAGGCGATCAGCGGCGTGATGACCACCGTGGGCAGTATCCAGGGAACCCACACCGGGTCCATATCGACGTTGACCACCGTCACCGCCGTGATCGTCGCGATGGTGCCGGCCATCATGTTGGTGAGATGCCGCGACACGCGACGGGCGCCGCCCGGCTGCCTCCGGTGGAAACTGGCGTCCGCCACCCCCAGTGCCAACGCGATCCCGCCGAAGACCAGCATTGTCACCCACTGAGAACTGCCGCTGAAACCCAGGACCGCCGCGTACCCCCACATCGCCAGTCCGGTGAGTCCGATGGCGGCGACGGCGACCCAGTCCACCGGATGGGCCTTCCGTTGCCGGTTGCGCGCGAATCGCCAGCCGGCAAACACCAGGTAGAAGCTGAACAAGGCGATCAGAAAAAGGAAAGTGCTGCCCCCGAAGAACGCCAGCGGGATCGCCGTCAGGAACACCACCGTCATTGCTCCGGCATAAACCCGCCCTGCCAGCACATGCCACCGCCCGCCCTTCGCGGTAACCAGCGCAACCCCAGCCATAGCCAGTGCCACCGAACCCGCGGATATGTGGATGGCCAGTAACGCAAAGGCGATGCCGCTAGTCATTCAGCTACTTCACCAGATCCGACCGGCCCGCCGTACTCCTCCAGTAGGGCGTTGACGGACGCAATCAAATCTGTGACCAATGTGCCGGTGAAATCGCTTACTTCAAATCCATGGGCGATGGCATTCCGGTACTTCATCAGCCGAACCAAACGGCGATATTCGTCCCTATCCAGCGCGCCGTACGCAACGGCCACACCAAGCACATAGGCTGGGTCAGTGGCACGGTCTACGGCGATACCCTCGGCCGAAACCAGAGCTCTCACGACGGCCTCAGCGGCAGTCCAAGCCACCAGAAAGGCCGCTTCGACAAATCCGGCATCCAACAACGCCTGGGCTTCCGACATTCGTTGGACTATGCCCGATACACCCAGCGATGGAGCATTTTCTGCGACGGCAATCTTTTCAGGTTCGCCTACCAGCCGCAATTGGAATCTCCATCCGGGCTGGGCATTTATGATGCGCTCGATCTCTTTGATGCCGGGATTGGCAAATAACGACGAGCGCGTCTTGACCTCCACCACTTCTACCACGTCGTCTTTTTCAACCAACAAATCAGCGCGGAACCCCGGAAGAAATTCCAGCGGTGCCTCTCGCGACACCTTATAGCCTTTCGCGCGGTACTCCGCAGCCAATACGTCTGCAACTTGTTGCTCGTTGATTGTCAGGTCATAGATCATAACGGGACGATCTGGCTATTGCCCTCATCTACGCGAATGTACCGGAATTGGCTGTAGCTACAATAACATTCATCGAAGACGTGCGACACACCCGCTGTGTGAAGGGTTTGCTCGCAGTCCCTCTTCCTACACACCAAGTCAGAAACTTAAGCTGTCATCAGAGTACACCAACCCTTTCATCCCGCCTAGGATCGGCTTGAGAATATTGTCAACATCACACGGGACGGTATCGAAAATGTACACCATGCTCACCGCAACTGTCCCGTCAGCGGGTGGTGAGCCGTCCCAATATTGATCCGCGGCCGCACGCACGTCTTGCACCCGCCTCTCCACTCGGTTGCGACGGCGGGCTTGTTGTGACACGGGCGGTCCTTCCAGTGCGAATTCAAATGGCAATACCTGGGCCTGCCATCACTCCAACGCTCCCGCCTCCAGCAACTCCCGGTACTCCGCCTCGCTCAACCCCACAATCTCCCGAGCGCGTGCTCCGTATCCTGCCCCAGCAGCGGCGCCGGACGGTCCAGCCGGCCCGGGGTCAGCGAGAGCTGCGCCTCGGTATAGTCGGTGGCGTACGGCCCCATCTCGGGGTGGTCCAACCAGGTGAAATGCTCCCGATGGCGCAGTTGCGGATCCTCGAACAGGTCGCGGGTATCGTTGACCGCACCCGCCGGGACGCCCACCGCTTGCAGCCGGCTCATCAACTCGTGGCGGTCGTGATGCACCGTCCAGCCCGCGATGATCCCGTCCAGCTTGTCCTCGTGGGCCTTCCGAACCCGGAAGGTGCGGAACTCGCCCGATTCAATTTCCGCCACGCCGTCCGCCGCCATCTCACCTCGCAGTCCGGCCCATTGCTCGTCGGTGAACGCCGCGATGGCGATCCAGCGGTCGCTTTCGCCGTGAGCGTCAGGGGCGCACGGATAGGCCCCATGCGGCGAGGCGGACGGGTGACGGTTCCCCACCAGGTCCGGTTCGCGGCCGTTGACGGCGGCATCCAGCAGCATCGGCCCGCCGAAGTGCAGGCTGGTTTCCAGTTGGGACATATCCAGGTGCGTCCCCAGACCAGTGGCGCGCTGCCGGTCCACGGCGGCCAGTATCGCGGCCACCGCAAACTTCGGACACACGAAGTCGGTGTACGCGCCGTAGGGGTTCACCGGCCCACGGTCCGGCCAGCCAATGATGTTAGTGTAGCCGGCCAACGACGACAGCACCGCGCCGAACCCGGGCTGCGCCTGCATCGGCCCGCCCCGGCCCAGCATCGACGCGCTGAACAGCACGACCCGCGGGTTGGCCTTGCGCAACTCCTCGTACCCCAGACCCCAGCGCTCGAGGGTACCGGGCGTGAAGTTTTCGGTGATGACGTCCGCCCACTCGGCGATGCGCAGGATCAACTCGGGCGCGCTCGGATGGCCCATATCTATGGACAGGCCGTACTTGTTGGCGTTGTAGTTCGCGAAATAGCCCGACCGGTTGATGCCGGACTCGCCCCCGGCAAACGGGCCGGCCCGTCGCAGGGTCTCCGGTCGCTTCGCCGACTCCACTCGCAGCACCGTCGCTCCATATTCTGAGAGGTACTTGGTGGTCATCGGACCCACCGCGACCCAGCAGAAGTCGAGAACTTTCAACCCATCCAAAGGCAAGTCTGCCATCGTTCAACTACTCCGTTCGCTGCTAGATCACGCCGAGTTCGGACAGCCGCGCCAGATCGCGGTCCTGTAGTCCCAGCTCCCCGCCGAGGATCTCCCGGTTGTGCTCACCAACGCGTGGCGCGCGCCGCCGCACACCTACACGTTTCGGGTCCTGCATATCCTTGACGAAGTGCCCCGGGTAGGTCACGGTTTCACCGAGTTCGGGGTGCTCGATCTGGTCGTAGTAGTCCCGCGCCGCCAATTGCCGGTGCGCCAGAATGTCGCTGGGCGTGGCCACCGGAAAGAGCAGTATGCGTCGTTCCAGTGCGCCGTCGGCCAGCTCGTTGCGCGTGTGGGTCATGAAAAACGGCGCAACTGCGTCCACCGTCTGCTCCATGATCTCCGCCCGCGCCGTGCCATAGCCCAGCTCTTCCCAGTTGACCGCGTCCAGTTCAGGACTTCCCATACCTTCCTCGGTCATCCAGGCCAGCATCGATCGAACGCTACGTGCCGCGCCGGCCGTACCGCCGCCCGGCTGGAAGTTGACGTATCCGTCCTTGCACGGCCAGTTGATGCGCGTGAACGTCCCGCCCGCCGACTCCCGATACGCGCCCATTCGGCGCAGGATGGTCTGCTCCAGGTCCCAGTATTGCGGCGCATGGGCCAGCGTCCGCGCCACCGCCTGCTGGCAGGACACGTCCACGTGCTGCCCCTCTCCTGTCAGCTGCCGATGCGTGTGCGCGATCATCGCGGCGGCGGCTCCGGCGGCGCTGCCGTGCTGGTAGAACTGGGGCATGCTGACCCTCAGCGGCGGCCGGTCCCCGTCGCCGGTCAGGTGCATGAACCCACCCAACGCCATACCGACGATATCGGAGGCCGCGTAGTCCGCGTATGGCCCATCCTGGCCGAAGGCCGTGATGGACACCATGACCAGTCGCGGGTTCAATTCCTGCAACTCGGGGTAACCCAAACCCAACGAGTTCATGTGCCCCGGGTCGGCGGATTCGATGATGAAGTCGGCCTGACCAACCAGTCGCCGGAACAGCGCCGCGCCATCCGCCCGGCTGACATCCAACGTGACGCCGCGCTTGTTGGCGCAATACGCCCACCAGAACAGGCTATGGTCCGCGCCTGGTTCGTCCTTGTAGAACGGGCCTATCTTTCGGGCCGGGCTGCCTCCCGAAGGTTCCACCTGGACTACATCCGCCCCCAGGTCGGCAAGCATCTTGCCGCAGAGTAGCCCGCGCCCGTCGGTGAGATCGAGTACCCGGTATGGAGCCAGGAGACCCGGCCCGTAGTCGTCGGAATTGGACATCCGCACCGCCTAGAACGTCGCCAGAGGGTTGACTGGCGACCCCGTGGCGTTGTGCCAGCGCAGCGGCGCGACGGTGAACATAAAGTCCCACCGGTTCAGCCGACGACACACCGGAGCCACTTCGTCGAAATTGGCGGCGTCTATCAGCCACAACCCCATGCCGACGATCCCCACCTTGTGGATGGGCAGGCCCAGGTACGGATACTCGCTGGGCGCAACGTCCCATGAGGCGTCGCAGGCTGCGATGGACACTCCCCGTTCTCGAAGCCACGGTAACGTTTCCGCGTGCAAACCGGGCCGACCCTCGGCAGCCGTCGGAGCGCCCACTTCCTGCCGCCGCTTGTACCATCCCAGGCGAATGCAGAGCGCGTCACCCTCGGTGACCCGAACGCCCTGCGCTTCTTCGGCCGCTTCCAGATCCGCGGTGAACACCGGCTCGGCGGCGTCCAGCCAATCCTTGCCCTTCACGGCGGCGATATCCAGCAGTACTCCGCGCGTAACCACGCCATTGCGCACCGTATCGATGGCGCCGGCTCCGGCCTTGTTGGCGTTGTTGATGAGGCCGGCGTCCTTCCCGTTGTACATCTTGCCGTTCCAGAACTGGTGGCACAGGCTGTCCAGGTGGGTGACCGTCAGGCCGTGGAACGACACGCCGATGAAATCGCTGGCTCCCCCGCCGCCTTCAGACGGCGCGGACTCTCCGGTCGACACCATATAGTGCAGCGGAGGAATGCTGGTTACGTCCGGCGCCATCTCCGGCACCAGCAACCGAGAGCAGGTGACGCTTACGCCCTCGCGCACCAAAGCGGCAGCTTCCTTCCGCTTGGCGTCCGTAATCAGGTTCAGGGTGCCCAGTTCGTCGTCGTCGCCCCAGCGGCCCCAGTTGCTCAGCGAATCGAACCAGCCCAGCACTTGTTCCTCGGTGGGAATGTTCGGTGTCGTCATTTTGGTCCCTCCTAATGGCGAATGAACGGTCGGTTAATGTTCTGGTGGGGACAACCCAAGGCATTGGTTTTCGATAAAGTCTAACACTGCGACGGCTTTTTCTAGATGTGCTCTCATTTGTGCCGGCGAGACGGAGGACTGTTCACCGTGGGCGATGAGGTTTCGTTGGCTTATTATAGTATTGATGGCAGACTGTCGGTCGTCGTCCGCCAAAAATGACCGCAGGTCGTTAGCCCAGGTTTCGCTAAATGCTCTTGCCGTTCTCACGATGCTATCAGAGTTGGCATTGCCGACAGTGAATGCGATCTGATTGCTGACATATTGCGCCACGTTACCGCCCGCTGCCGAGTAAGCGTATTCCTCGTATATGGCCTGCACTGCATTCTCAAGCAAGCTTGCGATCATGATGCATAAGTAACGTCCCCAATGCACCTGCATTCTGCTCGCTACGCCAAGTTCCCTGAACAGTTCCAGGATTTCCTGCAACTGGTTCTGAGCCTTCGCGTTTTGCATTTCACAATCCTCCGAATGCAGCTGCTGCTTTCCGGAGGCGGGTTTGTACAGACTGCGTTTGAGCAGTACCGCCTGAAACACTGGCGATATATTCGCTGTCTTTGAGAAGCGCATCATGCGCAGCCTGTATGGTGTCGGGACTGGGCTCGGCTTCTCGCTTAGTGGCTATGCGTCGAGCTAAGCCGACCGACATCGAGTCAAAAACCGCAGCATTCATTTGTCTGCTACCGTCGGTGCGGAACGCTCGGTTGCCAACGGCAATATTGAACAGTTCCATCACCTCTCTAAACAAATATCGTCCGCGGTTTAGAAATTCTTGATCAGGGTTCCGATGTTCGACAGCAAAGTCGTTGAGAAAGCCTAGCATCGGCGCAGCGTACTTCTCCGAGTTCACGTGCATCGCCCAAAAGCGCAAGATCAGTTCTTGGTCCTTCTGTCGCGGACTAGTGCGGCCGAATATCGTGCGCCAATTTCCGTCGACGTTCATCTCTCTTATATTGTCCAGCAAAGTGCCGCGGTACATCGCTTGGCGGATTTCCTGTGGGGTTAAACGCTGTCCTGTACTGTTCAGCCGTTGGAAGATATGGAATACGCTGCTCATCCCATCGTCTGGGAACAGTTGGCGGGTTATAGTGGCATGGAAGAGTGAATTGTCCAAGCGTCGCCTATCTGGTTGACGCAAGTCCGCGTATTGTTTCCCGGCTAAACTCTGTGTCACGCCTTGTAGCGCGAACTTCTGCTCGCCATCCCCAAATTTGCCTGAGTAGAAATATTGGAGGGTTTTCAAACGCTGCTGTCCGTCAATCACCATCAATTTTTCCGTGGCTGGTTCCATGGTGAGAAATATCCCGGGCACCGGAAGTCCCAGTAAGAGGGATTCGATGAATTGTGACGCTTGTTTAAAATTCCAAACGAATCCCCGTTGGAAATCGGGCACAAAAATATCCCCACCGTTTATTCTCCGCACTAATCCCTCAACATCAAAATCCACTCCGTAGCTAGTGATGCGATAATTCACGGCCTCTTCAATATCGTTATTTTCAGTTTCGTCGCGAACTGTTTCTTCGGCAAGCCGTTCGCCATTTCCTTGCGATAATTGTCCAGTAGTCATGGTGCCCCTCTCAACTCCGAATGGACCTCGCGACGGATTCTATTGCTCTTCTCTCGGTATGGTCAATCGCGCCGCGTCCCGGCCTACGCTTCCCGCAGCCGCCGGGAAAACAGGCAAAAGAACACCGCCACCGATCCGGCGATCCCCAGGTACAGCGCCGTCAACGGCGCTCCGATCTGCGTCACCATCCATCCATTCAGTGCACTGGCCGGGAAATGTGCCTGGATTGACAACACGCGCATCCCGCCCATACGGCCCCGAAACTCCGGATCGGAGTTGCCCATCAGCAGCGTCATCACCAGCACCAACGACACGGACGGCCTATTCCTGTCAGCACCTTGATCGCCAGGGCCACCACCAGTACTGCTGTAAACGGCAGTAAACTCGGCAGCGTCATCACGGCGACCGCGAACAGCATCATCGAGCCGTGCCATCCGCCGTTGACCGCCCAAACCAGCCACCAACCCTGCCGACGGAGATCGCCCAGGCCGGCCACCACCAACGCGCCGATTACCGCGCCCGCGCCCATCGCTCCGTTGAGCAGGCCAAGCACCTCCGGGCCACCCATCAGGGTGTCCTTGGCAAAGATCGGCATCAGGGCGGTGGAGAACGGAAAGCCGGTGACGTTGTACATCGCGGCAATCAACAGCGCCATGAACAGTTCCTTGCGCTGCCAGACATGACGCATGCCTTCGGCCACGCCGACGATTATCTGGCGAGGCGTGGTGTGGCCCGCGGTCGCATTCCGGGTCCGTACTGTCAGGGCCAGAAAACCGCCGATCACATACATCGCGCCGATGAAGCCGAACAGTCCCGCAGGAGTCAGCGGGGTGTACAGGAACCCCCCGGCGATGGGCCCCACGAACTGCGTCAGATTCTGGCCGAAACCCAGCATGGCCACCGCGTTGGTGAGTCGCTCGCGGGGCACCGTATCAATCAGCAGGGCATTCGTCACCGGGAGCTCGATGGTCCGGAACGCACCGCCGCCCAGGATGATTGCGAAGATCATCCAGACCTTCAGCGCATCCACCAGCAGGAGCGCCATCAGCAGGAACGCCAATGCCGCCGCGATGAAATGACCCGCCGCCATGAGCAGCCGGCGCGGCATCCTGTCCACCACCGCGCCGGCGAAGACGGAAAGAAACGCCAAACCGAGAGCCGACCCGCCAGCCAGGCCGACCAAAGGGCGTCGCCGGTCAACTCCAGCACCAACCAGAGTACGGCGATGATCTCCATCTGCCGGCCGGCCATGGCGATGTTGGCGGACACCCAGACCAGCGAAAAGTCGCGCCGCCGGAACGAGCCGAAGGTCTCGCTCGCCCGGGCGCCCAGAAGTGTGGCCAAGTCCTAGACCCTCCCTCGCAGCCCGGCGCCGATTATAGCACCGGGCCTCGTTGACCCAAGGTGGGCGATCCTTTCGGATCCCTGAAGGCCTACCCAGCGCGTGAGGCCGAACCCCAGTGTTCCCGTGGTAGAATTCTGCTGTTTATTCGCGCGACTATCGGAGGCACATTCAATGGAAATCGGCGTCGGACTGGACCACACCCTGGGCATGAATTGGGACGATCAGGCCAACTTGGCCCGCGAGGCCGCTGAACTGGGCTACGAGAGCATCTGGACACCCGAAAACATCGGCACCGATTCGTTCCAGGTGTGCGCCCGCCGCTGGCAGGCCAGTTGCGACGTCGTCGCGGGCGGGCTGACCACCGGCATCGGCGTTTCTCCCGTCATGTACCGCACGCCCATCGGCTTCGCGATGTCAGGCGGCACCATGAGCCAACAGACCGGCGGTAAGTTCATCCTCGGAGTCGGCGCCGGCGGCGCCTATCGCCCGGCCAACCGCCGCGACCTCGGTTTCCCTCGCGTGTCTGCCCTCAACCTGATGCGCGACTACCTGACCACCATTCGCGGCCTGGTGCGCGGCGAACGCGTCAACTACCAGGGAGAACACATCAACTACAACAACATCCGCCTGGCCATCCGGCCCGCTCCCGACACCCCCGTCTATCTCGGCACCCTGGGTCCCGAGATGCTGCGGCTCGCCGGTGAAGTTGCCGACGGCGTGTGCCTGAACTGGTGCACGCCCGACCAGATCGCCTGGAGCCGGGAGCGCATCGCCGAGGGAGCGGACCGCGTCGGGCGTGACCCATCCGAGGTCAAGGTCGTGGAATACATCCGCATCTGCGTCGACGACGACGAGGACGTGGCCCGCCGCGCCTTCGCCAAGAACTGCCTGGGCTACCCGTTGGGCGCCGCGGTTCCCACGACCCGGGAGCGCCAATTCGGCTACCGGGCCCACTTCGAGCGGATGGGCTACACCGAAGAACTGGCCGGCGCCGACGCCATCCGCACGCGGGGCGGCGACATGGACGAGGTGGCCGACGCCTATCCATCCGACGCCCTCCTGGCCGTCGGCTATTACGGCAAGCCCGACGGCGCCGCCGCCGCCTTCGCCAAGCTGGCCCAGGGCCTGGATGTCGCCCTGGTTCGCGTGATCTCCGCGCGGCCCGAGATCGCCTCGACCCAGGCAGTCATGCAGGCCTGCGCTCCCGACAAAGTGCGGGCCTCGTAATAGCACCACCAGTGCCGAAATTATCCCGCGAACCAAAGGGGCGATCATGCACGTAGGCGCCGCAACCATCTTCCAGAACCCAGGCAAGTTCACCACCGATTACGATGTATATCGGCAGGAACTCCGTCTGGCCGACTTGGCTGAGCCGTTGGGTTTCGAGTCCATCTGGGGCGTGGAGCATCACTTCACCGACTACACCATGTGCCCCGACGTGCTCCAGTTCCTCACCTACATGGCCGGTCGCACCTCCGATATGCAGCTGGGAAGCATGGTCTGCGTCCTGCCCTGGCACGACCCGGTGCGCGTCGCCGAGCAGGTCTCCATGCTCGACAACCTCAGCGACGGCCGGTTCATCCTCGGCATGGGCCGCGGCCTGGCCAAGGTCGAGTACGACGGTTTTCGCGTCGACATGAACGAATCCCGCACTCGCTTCATCGAGTCCGCCGAGTGCCTTCTGGCCGGCCTGGAAAGCGGGTTCTGCGAGTTCGACGGCGAATACATCAAGCAACCACGGCGGGAGATCCGGCCCAACCCGTTCCGCAGTTTCAAAGACCGCGCCTACGCCGCCGCTATCTCGCCCGAAAGCAGCCGCATCATGGCCCAGCTCGGCGTCGGCATGCTGGTGATCCCCCAAAAGCCCTGGGACGAGGTGGAAGGCGACCTTTCCAACTACCGCAACGCCTGGCTCGAAAGCCACGGCGCCGGTTCCGCCGGCCCGCCGGCCCCGGTGGTCGCCTGCTGGACCTTCTGCCACGAGGACGCCGATTACGCCCGCGACATGGCCCGCCGGTACATCGGCGGCTACTGGCACACGGTGATGGACCACTACCAGTTCAAGGCCGACCACCACAAGGACATCAAGGGCTACGAATACTACGGCAAGGTCGCCGAGAAGATGTTCGACTATGGCGACGACGAGGTCGTGGACTTCTTCGTCAACCTGCAGGTTTGGGGCACGCCGGAACAATGCTACGAGAAAATTCTGCAGATCCGTGACCGCACCGCCCATGACACCTACGTCGGCGCATTCAGCTACGCCGCCATGCCCTACGCTGCCGCCGAAGCCAGCATGCGCCTCTTCGCCAACGCAGTGATGCCGGAGCTGAAGGCCCTGCCATAGGCCCGTGGCAACACATCCGCCGGGCCGCCACCGCCATGCAAATGACCACCGGAGGCTTGCACCCATGTCCGACTGGTTTCCCAAGCAGACCATAGGCGACCTGCTCAACCAGGCCACCGACCGCTTCGGACCCCGCGAGGCCTTGATGTACCAGGGGCGTCGCTGGAGCTTCTCCGAGTTTCGCGCCGAGGTCGACCGCGTGGCCCGCGCGCTCATCAACCTCGGGGTGCAACCGGGCGACAAGGTGTCCTTGTGGATGCCCAACCGCGCGGAATGGCTGTTCCTGTTTGGCGCTGTCGCCAAGATCGGCGCCGTCCTCGTTCCCATCAACACCCGGTTCCGTACCACCGACATGGAGTACCTGGTCAAGCATTCGGATTCCACCACCCTGATCCTCATGGACCGCTCCGGTCCGGTCAGCTTCCTCGACATGCTGCGCGAGGTCGCTCCCGAGGTTGACACCGGCAACGCTGCGGAACTCCACCCACCCGCCTTCCCCGCGCTGCGCAACGTCGTCGTCCTCGGCGCAGACCGCCCGGCCGGCTCCATCGCCTGGGATGCCATGCTGGCCGGCGCCGACGAGGTGAAGGCCGAAGAACTGGCCCAACGCGAAGCCGCCGTCAGTCCCGACGACACCTTCCTGCTCATGTACACCTCGGGCACCACCGGCTTCCCCAAGGGCGTGATGCACTGCCACAACCCCATCCGCACCATCACGGACGCCGCGAACCGCATGGCCGTGTCCCCCCGCGACGTTATCCTGATGTATCTACCCCTGTTCCACTGCTTCGGGCTCTACGAGGGCCCGCTGATGTCGTGGGTAACCGGCGCCCGCATCGTGCTGACCACCATGTTTGATGCCGGAGAAGTCCTGTCCCTGCTGGAATCGGAGCGGGCGACGGTGATGAACGGCTTCGACACCCACTTCTTCGACCTCACCCACCATCCCGATGTGGACCACATCGACCGGAGCAGCCTCCGCACCATCTTGCTGGCCGTGGGCATGGCCTCCAGCGAACCCACCGCGCGCCTGACCCAGGAGAAACTGTGCCCCTCCCTGTCGGCGTGGGGCATGACCGAGGTCGGCGTCGGGGCCACCCGTTCCTTCCTCGACGCCCCCGAGGACGACCGTTGCGTCGAAAGCGGCCACGCCCTGCCCGGCTACGAGTTCAAGGTAATCGACCCCGAGACCGGCGCAATGCAGCCGGCATCGACCATCGGCGAGCTCTGCGTCCGCGGCTACGCCCTCATGCAGGGCTACTACAAGCGACCCGGAGGCCACGGCGGAAGCCATCGACGGCGACGGCTGGTTCCACACCGGCGACGTCGCCACCATGCGCGACGACGGCAGCATCCGTTTCATGGGCCGCTACAAGGACGTACTCAAGGTCGGCGGCGAAAACGTCGACCCCACCGAGGTCGAGGCGTTCCTCCTCGAGCACCCCGCGGTCAACAAGGTCCAGGTGATCGGCGTCCCGGACCCGCGCCTCACCGAGGTCGCCTGCGCCTGTGTGGTCGTCGAGCCGGGCCAGGCCATCACCGACGCCGACCTTGGCGATTTCTGCCGCGGGAAAATGGCCAGCTTCAAAATACCCCGCCATCTGGTCCTGATGGACGACTACCCCATGACCTCCAGCGGCAAGGTCCAAAAATACCTGCTCCGCCAGATGGCCGCCGAAACCCTGGGCCTTGGCGTCTAGCCACACCCTTCAACCCGCAGGGTCATTCGGTTTTCCAGAATGTCATTGTGCCTCGATTTCCCTGATTGTCATTGCGAGCGCAGCGTGGCAATCTCGTCCCCACAGCACGGCCACTCGCCAAAAGCGATTCCATCGCTCCGTTACTTCCGCGCTTTTTCATCCCCGAGGACGATAATCGCATCACCCTGCTTGAACCCGAGCACAGCGTGACAATCGCCAAAATAGTGCCCTACATCGGCATCACCGGCTTCTGCTCCCAGAGTGAAGTGGAATCCGTACTGGAAACCCTCCCGGCAGAACCCAGCCGTCTGCTCATGTGCGGCGTTCTGCTGAGCAACGCCCTGTTGTCCGGCGATCCCAGTGACGCTCCCAACCGCTGCCCGTCGCCCGACGGTATCGCGGCCATCTTCTCCAACGATTCGCGCTGCGTGAACCTTGTCCACTACCGCCCGCAGCCCGGCGCCGACCTGGCGGACGCGCTGACTCACGCCACGGAAGTGGGCGGCCCAAACTGCCATGGGATCCAGATCAACGCCACCCGCGGCGCTCCCTGGCCCGACCCTGCCGCCCTGGCAACATACCGCGAGCGTTGCCACCCGTCCCGAATCGTCTTCCAGGCGGGACGCGAGGCGATGGAATCCGCCAACCACCAACCGGACGAACTCGCCCGTCGCTGTGCCGAATATTCCGGCCTGGTAACCGACGTGCTGGTGGACGCCTCCGAGGGTCTTGGCCTCCCGCTGGACGCCGCCCGCTCCGCCAACTACCTGCACGCCATCCGATCCGCCGCTCCGGAGTTGGGCCTGGTGGTGGCCGGCGGCCTCCACGCCGGAAACATCGCGAACTGCTGTCGCCCCTCCTGCCTGAGTGGTCCCACGTCAGCATCGACGCCGAGGGCCGTCTCCGCGACGCGGACGACCGGCTCAACGCACGCGCCGCAATCGCCTACCTTAATGAAGCGCTAACGATGCTAAAATAAAGTACCTAAACAAGGATTTTTGTGTGGAAATTGGGTTTAGCAATCGGCGGCTTGCAAAAACATTCAGCTCAGAAAAATCACTAATTCGTGAATTTGGAGATCGGATTGCACGAGCCGTCGGAAACAGGCTGTCGGTTCTGGAGCATGTCGAATCACTGGCGCAAGTACCTGCTGGTCCACCGGAACGATGTCACGCGCTTGGCCAAAACCGCCAAGGCCAGTATACCGTAGACCTCGTACAACCTTATCGATTGATATTCGAACCAAACCATGACCCCATGCCTATGCATGCGGCGGGTGGAGTTGACATTTCTCGAGTTACCGCCGTCACCATCATTGAAGTAATCGACTATCATTAGGGGGTGCGCCATGCCGTCATCTGTAAAGCAATTCCTGCCAGACTACGGCGTTCCACCTGGACAAATCCTCGAGGAGCGCCTCCGAGATCGCGGAATTTCACCCGCAACATTCGCCGTACGTTGCGACATGACTGAATCTGACCTCGACGGCATCCTGAATGGCGCGGCCGCGATGAACCTTGACATTGCGGAAAAATTCGAGCGTGAGATAGGGCTGCCAACTCAGGCGTGGCTAGGTATCGAGCGCAAGTATCAACAGTACCAGAAGCGACTTGCAGCCAGTAATCGACCTGGATCTGGGACTTGGGCCGGTCAATTTCCGGTCTCCGAATTAGTTCACCGAGACCAAATTGACCAACCTGAATCCGAAGCCGATGCAGTGTTCAAACTACTGTCATTCTTTGACGTTGATTCTGTCGCGGAATGGGACGCTGTGTACGGCTCGGCCAACGTAGCTTATCGGCATTCTCCGACTTTCAGGAGCGACGAATTCGCACTGGCAACGTGGCTGCGCGTGGGTGCCATCGAAGCCCAATGGCCAAAACGCCCCGATTACGATCAATCGCAATTCCGCGACGCCTTGGAACAAATCCGTGAACTCACCAGTGGGGAAACCGGGCCCGCTTTTGAACGAGCGCAGGATCTATGCAATAACTCAGGTGTCGCGCTATCACTCCTCAAGCCTATGTCGCAGACCGCCCTTAGCGGGGCTGCTTGGTGGCTGACCCCAACGAAACCGGTTATTCAATTGAGCGGCCGGTATCGGAGCAACGACCATTTGTGGTTTACGCTCTTTCATGAAGCAGCGCACATCCTGCTGCATAGCGAGGATTCCGGAGAGATCATCATCGATGATGACAAGGGTCAAATAACCGGGCTCGACGCTGAAGCAAATGAATGGGCGTCTAATCTTCTGATCCCTCGTCAAGATTGGGACCAGTTTGTTGCGCGCGACCGATTCACTGGATCAGACGTTCACAACTTCGCGTCTCAGCAGCGAATAGCTCCCGCTATCGTGGTTGGCCGTTTACAGCATGAAAAATTGGTGCCATGGTCAGCCTTGAACCAGTTCAAAGCGAGAATCCAGTGGGTAGGCTAAAAGGCTCAAAGGGCCACTCGAATTCCCGCCTTTTCCGGCGCCACATCTAACCGACGACATTGGCATCACCTACACCTATCTGGGCGGCGAGCTCGGCGGGCGACCCGTCGATCGCTCGTGCTATGACGCCCAAGGTCGTGTCCAGTACGACCGGGTGGCTGAAACCGACCCGTTCGACGACGGCCTGCGCAGAGTCATTCGCGGCGCAGAACAAAACTGCGTCGCGCTTCTGTGCACCGAAAAGGAACCTCTGGAATGCCACCGAACCCTGTTGGTGGCCCGCTGCCTGGCCGACCGGGATGTTGATGTTGCCCACATCCTCGCCGATGGTTCCCTCGAAAGCCACGACCAAGTCATGGGCCGCCTGTTAGACATCCACAAGCTGCCACCGCAAGGCGACATGTTCCGGTCCCGCACTGAGGTGATCGCAGAAGCCTTGGACCGGCAGGCGCAGAAATTCGCCTACGTGACCACGAGCCTCCAGCCGACCGACGATCCATGGGAGGACATGCTGTGAAGCTCTACACCATCGGTTTCACCAAAAAATCCGCCGCCGACTTCTTCGGCCTGCTGCGAGAATCCGGCGCCAAAAGAGTCGTCGACGTGCGTCTCCGCAACACCTCGGGGCTGGCCGGCTTCTCCAAAAAGCGCGACCTCCCCTGGTTTCTTCGCGAACTGTGCGACATGGACTACGTCCATCTGCCCCGCCTGTCGCCAACCGACGCGCTGCTGGATGATTACCGGGGGAAGCGCGTCACCTGGGAGGAATACGAACCCATCTTCCACTCCTTGATTGAGCGCCGGCTCATTCGCGCCGCCATCCCGCAGGATATAATCGCCGACAGTTGCCTGCTGTGCAGCGAGGACAAGCCGGAACAATGCCACCGGCGCCTCCTCGCCGAGCATTTCCAGCGCCATTGGGGCAACGTCGAAATCGTCCACCTTGGATAGTCGGAGGCAACCGGAATGTCACAAGTCAACACCGTCCTCGGCCCGATCGACTCCGCCGATATGGGTTTCACTCTCAGCCACGAGCACATCACCCTGGGCGCCGCCGGCGCGGCCGCAACCTACCCGGGGTTCCAGGACCGCCAGGCCATCGCCGACGCGGCCACGGCCGCCCTGTCCGAAGCCCACGCCGGCGGCGTGCGCACCATCATCGACGTCACCACCTTCGACCTTGGCCGCGACGTGGCCATGATGCAGGAGGTCAGCCGGCGCTCCGGTGTCCACGCCATCCCCTGCACCGGGAACCATCTCTCCGTGCCGCGCATCTTCTGGGGCGCTCCCGTGGATCGGGTCGCCGCCCTGTTCATCAAGGAAATCGAGGAGGGCATCGAGGACAGCGGCGTGAAAGCCGGCATCATCAAGGTGGCCAGCGACCGGGGCGGCATCACCGAAAACGAGGAGATCATCCTGCGCGCCGCCGCCCGCGCCTGCAACGCCACCGGTACCCGCATCAGCACCCACACCTGGTCTCCCGACCGGGTCGGCGAGGAGCAGGTGCGCATCTTGAGAGAGGAGGGCGTTGACCTCAACCGGGTCTACATCGGCCACAGCAACGACGACACCGATGTCGGTTACCTGGTCGGCCTCCTCGAGGAGGGCGTGTGGCTCGGCCTCGACCGCTATCCCGGTGGCCGTACCCCGGAGACACCTCAATGGGAGCGGCGTACCGAGGTGGTCAAGCAACTCATCGACGCCGGCTGGGCTCATCGCCTGATGCTGTCCCACGACCATTCGACCCCTGTGGTGCAGCCCTCCGAAGACCTGCGCCGGGAACGCGAGGAATTCAATCCCGACGGCTACCTGTTCATCAGCCGCAACGTCCTGCCCCGCCTCATCGAGTTGGGCGCTGCCGACGCCGACGTCCAGGCCATGATGGTCGACAACCCCCGGCGCTTCTTCGAAGACTGATCCCCACGCCCGCTGCGAGGTCCCCCATGAACATCGGCTTTTCCCTCTCCAACAACCAGGGTCTCACCAACGTGCAGGATGTCGTCAGCGTCGCGGCGCGCGCCGAGGAACTCGGCTACGACTCGGTTTGGGCCAGTGACCACGTGTTCAACGTCAGCTACGTTTACGAGCGCATTGGAACCCGGCCCTACTACGATCCGCTGACCATCCTCACCTTCGCCGCCGCCCAGACTCAACGGGTCATCCTGGGCACCAGCGTGCTCGTCCTGCCTTACCACAATCCGATGCGGCTGGCGAAGCAGGCCGCCACGCTGGACCAGTTGTCCGGCGGCCGTGTCGCCCTCGGCGTCGGCGTGGGCGTGATCGACACCGAGCTGGAAGCCATGGGCGTGCCCTTCGCCGAGCGCGGGCCCTACACTGACGAGTCCATTGACATAATGAAAACCCTCTGGTGCGACGACGACCCGCGTCACAATGGCCGGTTCTTCCAATTTGAAGGCATGGCGTTTTCGCCGCGTCCGGTTCGTGCGGAAGGCATCCCGCTTATCATCGGCGGCACCAGCCGCGCCGCCATTCGCCGGGCCGCCCGCCACGGCGACGGTTGGCACCCCACAGCGATGCCGCCCGAGGACCTGGCCCAGGGCATTCGCTACCTGCACGAGCAGGCCGAACGCGCCGACCGCGACCCCGACACCATCCCAGTTTCGGTCAGTGTCCCGTTGCAGGGCGGACGGCCGGGCCGCTTCGCCCTCGGTACCGAGCCCGCCGAAATGCGCGCCAACGCCCGGGCGTACGCCGACATCGGCGTCTCGCGCATCGTGGTTTCCCCGTACTCGGGCGACCCCGAAGTGGTTTTCCCCGCCATGGAGACCGTGGCCGCTGAAGTCATGCCGGCCGTCGCCTGATTTACGGGTCAAAACCCGCGAGTTTCGGTTGCGACTGAACAGATCGGAGACAGACCTTGACCAACCCTTCAACTCCAATCATCGCCCCCTACGGTTCTTGGCGTTCGCCGATCACGGCCGACGCCATCGTCGCTGAGTCCATCGGTATCGGCAGCGTGGCAATCGACGGCGACGCGATCCTGTGGACCGAATCCCGACCGTCAGAGGGCGGACGCTACGTCATCGTCCGCCTGGAACCGGACGGCACGGTCTCCGACGTCAATCCGGCGCCATTCAACGCCCGCACCCGCGTCCACGAGTACGGCGGCGGTGCCTGGCTCGCCGACGCCGGAACCGTGTGGTTCTCGAATTTCGACGACCAGCGCATCTACCGCCAGGATCCCGGCGCAGACGCTCGTGCCATCACCCCCCGACGCTCCGTTGCGCTACGCCGACGCCGTGCTCGACCGCGCGCGCGACCGCCTCATCTGCGTCCGCGAGGATCATTCCGACCCCGACAACATCGTCAACACCGTCGCTGCCGTACCCGCCGACGGTCCGGGCGAGCAGACCGTCCTCTTTGATGGTTGGGACTTCGTGTCCTCGCCGCGACTGAGCCCCGATGGCTCCACCCTGGCCTGGATGTCCTGGAACCATCCCAACATGCCTTGGGACGGCACGCATCTCTGGACCGCTCCCGTGCTGGACGACGGCACCTTGGGCGACGCCACGCTGGTTGCTGGCGGGGATGCCGTGTCCGTGTGCCAACCCGAGTGGTCGCCCGACGGCGTTCTGCACTTCGTGGCCGATCAATCGGGCTGGTGGAACCTCTATCGACTCGGTAACGACGGCGCGGAGCCTCTCTATCCCGATGACGCGGAATACGCTCGTCCCCAATGGGTGTTCGGTTCCCACACCTACGGCTTTGCGGCCAACGGCAATATCGTCTGCGCCGTCAACCGTCGCGGCGCCTGGTCCCTGAACCTGCTGGACCCCGGCACCGGCGCCATGAGACCGGTCAACGCCCCGGCCGGCGAGATGGGCCGAGGCGATCTGGCCGTGTCCGGCATCACCGCCGCAGTAATCGCCGGCGACTCCACCCGTCCCTTGTCCCTGATTCGAGCCAACCTTCGCACCGGCGAATGGAACACCGTGCGCCGGTCATCCACCACCGAGATCTCCGACGACTACATCTCGCCCGCCCAAACCATCGAATTCCCGTCCACCGACGGCCGCCCCGCTCACGCTTTGTACTACGCCCCGCGGAACCCGGAGTACGCTGCGCCTGACGGTACGCTGCCCCCGCTGCTGACCCTCAGCCACGGCGGTCCGACGGCGGCCGCGTCCGGCGCCCTCGAACTGTCCGTTCAATACTGGACGACCCGGGGGTTCGCCGTCGTGGACGTCGATTACGGCGGCAGCGTCGGATACGGCCGGGCCTACCGGCAACTGCTCAACGGAAACTGGGGCGTCGTTGACGTGGACGACTGCGCCAACGCCGCCCTGCACCTGGTACACCAGCACCTGGCCGACGGCAGCCGACTGGCCATCCGGGGCGGCAGCGCCGGCGGCTATACCACCCTGGCCGCGCTGGCCTTCCGCAACGTGTTTGCCGCCGGCGCCAGCTACTACGGTGTTTCCGACCTCACCGCCCTGGCTGAGGATACCCATAAGTTCGAGTCGCGTTATCTCGACCGCCTGGTCGCTCCCTACCCCGAGGGGGCCGAGACCTATCGAACCCGCTCACCGATCCACCACCCCGAAGGACTGTCCTGTCCAATCATCCTTTTCCAGGGATTGGAAGACCGTATCGTCCCGCCCAATCAGGCCGAGATGATGTTCGCCGCCGTGCGGTCCAAGGGCATCCCGTGCGCCTATCTGCCCTTCGAAGGCGAGCAGCACGGCTTCCGCCGCGCCCAAAACATCAAGCGCGCCCTGGAAGCCGAGCTCTACTTCTATTCCCGGGTCTTCCGCTTCGACCTCGCCGACCCGGTGGAACCCGTGCAGATCGAGAACCTATAGATTGCCCGTCAGTAGGCCGCGCCCAGCACTTCCATGATCGGCCCGGCGTCGATGACGGGCTTGGGGTTGGTGCTCAGGCTCCGGTCTTGCAGCGTGGCCGTCGCGATGTACTCCAGCCCGTCCTCGGGAACGCCCACCTCTCGCAGAGTGCGCGGCAATTCCAGCTCCCGGCACAATCCGTCCACCGCGTCGGCGGCGGCCAACCCGGCTTCCTCGTCCGTCATCGTGCTGCTGGCGACCCCAATGGCCTCCGCGATCAGCCGTTGACGGTCGGCGCACGCGTCCAGGTTGTACCGCATGGTGTGAGGTAGGAGGATCGCGTTGGCCTCGCCGTGGGGCACGTCATACAACCCGCCCACGTGATGACAGGTGGCGGTGTTCAACCCAAGCCCGCCAAAGGACGCCAACGACGCCATGGCACAGGCGGTCTTGGTGGCCAGCAGCGTGTCGATGTCGCCGTCCTTGCAGCGAGGCAAGTTTTCAAACAGCAGGCGGATTGCGTGCAGAGCCATGCCGTCGCCAATCGGATTGTGACCCGTGGAATACACCGTTTCAACCGCGATGCGGAGCTGCCCGATGGCCGTGGATACCAGGATGCGCAGCGGCGTGGTTGCCAGGGCCTGGCCATCAATGACCACCGTGCGATGGGTCACCCCATCCCCCGCGATGCTAAGCTTGCGCCCCTGGCTATGGTCGGTCACGCCGCCCCCGCCACGGCTAACTCCGCGCATCCCATGGTGGTCGGCACGCTCAGGATTGGGAGCTTGGGCGACGGTGTGGGCGGCACCGTGATCTTGTCCGGCGGCTCAAAGATGATGGCATAGTCGCGAATGTCGCCACCCTCGGCGAGAAGCACGGCCATGGCCTTGGTAGTGTCATGGGTGCTGCCGCCGCCGACACTGATGAAGATGTCCGGCTGCGTTTCCTGCGCCATCGCCGCTCCGGCCTCGACAGTGTCCACCGGCGAATGGGGCGCTACGCCCGAATACGTCCCAACGTATCTCGATCCCAGCGCCTCCTGGACGCGCGGTACCACGTCGCAAGCCGACAGAATCGTGGGCCCGCAGGTGATCATCGCCCGGCTGGCGCCGAGGCTGTCCACCGTCGCCGCCAGGTCGTTGATCGCAGTCTCCGCGCAGATAATGTCCTGGTGCAGCGGGTTATAACGGTATCGCAGGCTGCTGGATGCCATTCTGGTGCCTCCGTGCGTAAAAAGAGTAGGGGCGAACGGTAATTCGCCCCCAACGCCATCGATCTTCACTGGTCTACTGGTTCAGGCCGCGCTGCATCCCTCGCAGGTAGCCGGCCTGGCCGCCGTGCTGGTTCACCTCCCAGATGAGCAGGCGGAACATGTCCGCCACCGCCATGCCCTCGCCCCGGCGGTTGGTCATCTGGGTGCTCACCAGCGTGTCGTCGTCGTGCCCGCTCAGAAAATCGAGCAGGTTGTTGCGGGCCACATCGGCGTACTCCATCAACAGGGCCTTCCCGGGACAATGCCAACTGACCAGGTCCTCGACGCTGTAGCCGAACCCTACGTTCATCGGCTCCGGCGCGAAGCCGAGACGCTCCGCCCACTCCCGTTCGTAGAGCTGTGGCTCTTGCTTCGCCAGCGACTGGACCCACATGTCTAACGCCCGCCCATAATGCCACACGATGAACCCGATTGAGTGGCACTGCTCGTTGGGAACGAACTCGATCTCCTCCTGGGTCAGCCCGTCAACATAACGGACCAGCCACTCCCAATTGGCGTCGAACGACCCCTTGATAAACTCTTTCAGTGCCATGATTTCCTCTGGTGACCGTCAGGTCGTCCACACCGGTTGCCGCTTTTCCAGGAACGCCGAAATGCCCTCTTTGGCATCGTCCGCAAGCAGGTTGTCCACCATGACCTTGCTGGCAAACTGGTACGCGGATGGCCGGTCCATTTCAATCTGCTGGTAAAACGCCGACTTGCCCAACGCCAATGTGTGCGCGCTGGCCGACGCTATTTGCTGCGCCAACTCCGTAACTTGTTCTCCCAACTGGTCCGCTGGCGCAATCCTGCTGATGAGTCCGAACTCCAACGCTTCCTGCGCCGAAATCGGACGCCCCGTCAGCAGCATCTCCATCGCCTTTTTCGGCATCACCGACCGCGCCACCGCAACTCCCGGCGTGGTGCAGAACAGGCCGATCTGCACGCCCGGCGTGGCAAACGCCGCCGTGTCAGCTGCCACCGCGATGTCGCAGGTCGCCACCAGTTGGCATCCGGCCGCCGTGGCCAGACCCTGCACCTGCGCGATCACCGGTTTGGGAAGCAGCCGGATCCCCTCCATCACCCGGGCGCAGGCTTCAAACACCGGGGTGTAGTCATCGGCGTCGCCGTCGACGAGCTCATTCAGGTCGTGTCCCGAGCTGAACACCGGCCCTTCCGAGCGCAGTACCACGACACGCACCGCCGGGTCGCCGGCCATCTGCGCCAGCAAGCCTTCCAATGCTTCCAGCGTCGGCGACGACAGCGCGTTGCGCCGCTCCGGGTTGTTCAGGGTCAGGGTGGCGACCCCCTCGGAATCAAGAGCGTACAGAACGGGTTGGCTGGCGGAGTCATCGGGCATCACGGAACCATCCAATTTGGTGTTAGTCGCGGGAGATCAAGCCAACGCTGGCTCAGGCCGACGCAGAAACGGTCCTGGCATGGGCAACATCCAATCCATTCACCGGTCGAACCAGTGTCCGCTCGACTGTGGCCACGGTGAACGTTTGCCCGTCCAGCGAGAAAAACTCCACTTCATATGCGGCATGCTGAGGATAAATATGCACCACAGTACCGACGTCACCGGCCCTAACCGCTTCGCCGACGATGTCTGAAATGAGCACAACGCGATCGTGTTCTGAGATCATTTCTGCCTCACACTCGGGTACGCCGTGACCAACCTGGGCCGGGTTTCTCTAGTTTCGATTATCCAGACTGTCCTGACGGCAAGATCGCGGCCGTGCGGAATATTCAGAAGCCTATCGACGGCATACTTGTCTCGTTCAACCAGCCCGCTGACGGAACCCGGCAACTGCATTCCGCGTGCGCCGACATCCACCAGGCATCAACGGTAATAGCTAACCTCGGGGGAGGCCCAGTCCGCGGGATGCGATGATATTGCGTTGGACCTCGCTGGTGCCGGCGGCAATGGTGTGGGAGAACGCGCGGAGCCAGTGCTCCTGCATATCCGCTTCCATCGGCGTCCATTTGTCGTCCCGCAAACCGCCGTACATCCCCATGACCTCCAGGCAGGAAGCCGTGGTTCGCTGCACCGTCTCGCTGCCGAACACCTTGGACATTGAGGCTTCCTTGTTGGGCACCAGCCCCTCGCCCTGCATCCAGGCCACGTTGTACGCGATCAGTCGTGCCACCTCGCACTCGATATACCGGTCCGCCAGCACGTTACGCACCCACGGTTCCTGGCTGAGGGGCTTGCCGTTCCTGCTGACGCCGTCCGCCCACTGGCGCGTATCGTCGAGATGACGCCGGGCCGCCGCTGAGTAATCTATGCCCGACCGCTCAAAGTCCAGCAACGTCACCGCAACGTACCAACCACGATTCTCCTCTCCTACGATGTTCCGCGCTGGAACTCGAACGTTATCGAAGATCACCTGGTTGAACTCGTGCCGGCCGCCCATGTTGATGATCGGTCGGACCTCGATCCCGGGCGTTTTCATATCAACCAGGAAGAAGCTGATTCCCCGGTGTTTGGGCGCATCGGTGTCGGTCCGGGTCAACAGCATAATCCAGTCGCCCCGGTGACCCATGGATGTCCAGATCTTGCTGCCGTTGACCACGAACTCGTCACCATCTCGGATGGCGCGCGTGCTCAACGATGCCAGGTCGGAGCCCGATTCCGGCTCGCTGTAACCCTGACACCACTGGACCTCGCCCTTGGCTACGGGCGGCAGGTGCTCGGCTTTCTGATCGTCGGTACCGTGGATCATCAACGTCGCGCCCATCATCCTGACGCCGAAGTTGTCTCGCCCCGGAGCACGATGGTATGTCATCGCTTCGTTGAAGATGGCCGTACGAACTGGGGATGCCTTCTGGCCTCCGTACTCTTCCGGCCAGTGCATGGTCAGCCACCCATGGTCAGCCAGCTTGCGCCGCACGTCCAGGGTCCGCTGCCAATTTTCCTCGGTGGAGGCCCGTTCTCCCAATTCCCATTCCGGGACGTATTCGTCGGCGATAAACTGTTGCAGGTTACTCTGGAACGCTGCGTCTTCTGTGCTGAGCTGGAACTCCATCGCGGTACTCCTATGCCGGCGTTTGGGCCATCTTATCACGCCAAAGATTACATTTGGCTGTAACCGCTGCCCGGCCCACGCGTATCATCGACACCCCACCCGCGGCCTTCGTCAATCCAACCAAATTCCAGCAGTATCTGCTGGCTGTAGCAAACCCGTCCGGTGACCTTGTCCGCCGGCTCGGAGGCCAACAACAACGTGGCCTGGGCCAGCAGTTCCGGCGGTTCGCCCCGAGGGTCGTCCATCCCTTCAACCAGATTGTGGAACACGGTTCCCGGCGTCGGCACCACCAGCGACGGCGCCACCGCCGAAACCGAAATCCCATACTCGTACACTTCCTGGGCCAACCCCTGCGAGAAACGCTCCAGGGCCGCTTTTTCGGCCCCGTAGCAAGTGCCGTTGTTCGGCGGCGTGGTGTACGGCCCCCGTCCCGGACCCACCGCCGAACCGGAGGAGATGTTGACTATGCTTCCCGAACCGCGCTCGATCATGTCCCCCAGTACCAACTGGCTGAGAATGAACGGCGCATGGAAGTTGACCGCCCACGACCGCATCCATCGGTTGATGGGGAAATCCTTTATGGGCAGGTAGTACGTCAGCGCGGCATTGTTCACCAGCACGTCCACGGGCCCGTAGATGCTGCGGGTCTCCTCGACCAGGCGCTCGCAGTCCTCGGGAAGCGAAATGTTCACCGCCACCGGTGTGGCTTCGCCGCCGGCTTCTTGGATGTCCGCGATCGTCTTGGAGAGCGAGCCTTCCAACGGATGGTCGCCCTCGTTGACCGTGCGCGCGGCGCAGATTACTCGCGCCCCTTCAGCCGCGAACAGCCGGCTGATCTCCGCGCCAATCCCTCGGCTGGCTCCGGTTACAATGGCGGTTTTTCCTTCAAGTTTGGGCATTTGGGTCAATTCCTTTGTGCAACGGTTCGATTGTGCAGCGGTTCGATCCCGGGCTGCTAGGGCCGTTCGATTATCCTGAATGTCATTGCGAGCGAAGCGTGGCAATCTCGTTGCCGTAGTGAAGGTTGTTGCCGAAAGTGCTTGCATCGCTCAGTGACTGCGAGCGAAGCGTGGCAATCTCGTTGCCATAGTGCAGGTTGTTGCCGAAAGTGCTTGCATCGCTCAGTGACTCCCGAGTCGCCTCGATCCGTACCACAACAATCGAATGTCCCAGCCCCGGCTGCGCCGTCAAGAGGCAAGTTCAGCCGAAAGCTCCGGCCGGCGCCGGTGTGCAGCGAAGCATGTCTTTGGTCAAAAGAGGGTTGCCTCAAGTGTTCCGTTTCGAGCCTAATGCGTTCCGTTTTGAGAAGGCGTAGGCTCGGTGAACGGCCGGCCCTCGCGTTCCGCTGCCAGGCGGCGTTCGTTCCACTCGTCCCAGAGCCTGTCGCTCTGCACGCGCCCTTCCTCCCGACCCTCTTCCCTACCTTCCTCCCGACCCTCCTCCCTACCTTCCGTTTGTCGGTATCGGTCAGTCAACAATTTGGCCAAAACCATGGGTACCCTCTCCGCGAATTGTACAGCGGTTCGATCCCCGGCTGCGCCGTCAAGAGGCAATTTCAGCCGAAGGCTCCGGCCGATGCCGGTGTGCAGCGAAGCATGTCTTTGGTCATCAGAGGGTTTCCTCAAGTGTTCCGTTTCGAGCCTAATGTGTCCCGTTTTGAGAAGGCGTAGGCTCGGTGAACGGCCGGCCCTCGCGTTCCGCTGCCACACGGCGTTCGTTCCACTCCTCCCAGAGCCTGTTGCTCTGCACACGCCCTTCCTCCCGACCTTCCTGTCGGTATCGATCAGTCAACAATTTGGCCAAAACCATGGGTACCCCCTCCGCGAATTGTACAGCGGTTCGATCCCCGGCTGCGCCGTCAAGAGGCAATTTCAGCCGAAAGCTCCGGCCGACGCCGGTGTGCAGCGAAGCATGTCTTTGGTCAACAGAGGGTTCCCTCAAGTGTTCCGTTTCGAACCTAATGTGTCCCGTTTTGAGAAGGAGTAGGCTCGGTGAACGGCCTGCCCTCGCGTTCCGCTGCCAAGCGGCGTTCGTTCCACTCGTCCCAGAGCCTGTCGCTCTGCACACGCCCTTCCTCCCGACCCTCTTCACGACCTTCCTCCCGACCCTCTTCACGACCTTCCTCCCGACCCTCTTCCCTACCTTCCACCCGACCTTCCTGTCGGTATCGGTCAGTCAACAATTTGGCCAAAACCATGGGTACCCCCTCCGTCAATCCGAAAGCCAAGGGAATCGCAACGGCAGCGGTAACCGCCGCGGACGCGATAACGATTATAGCAATTTCAGTCCACGCCAACGGTGGATTTTCCGCCGCCGCTACTCGCGAATACGCCAGAATGGCCGTCAGCGCTGACCAAATAACATAGAAGGCGGCCAGAAACTGTCCGTTCCGGTGGATCAGTACATCGAACGCGCTGACCCTGCCATCGCGTTCCCGCCCCGGTGAAGAACTCAACTCTCTTCACCCAACAACTCCACCAGCAGCCGTTCATTCATCGTAAAACTCTCGGCCTCCGAGGGAAACGCGCCGTTCCTCACGTCCTCGGCGTACCACTCGAAAGCTCGGGTCATGTCGGAACCCAACTCGGCATACTTCCGCGCGTGCTTGGGTACGAAGTCAGGGAACAGGCCCAGCATGTCGTGAAATACCTGGACTTGCCCGTCACAGTCGGGCCCGGCCCCGATACCGATAGTGGGGATCGTCAGCCGTTCGGTTATCACCTTGGCCAAAGGCGCCGGAACACACTCCAGCACCACCGAGTACGCCCCCGCCTCCTGCAGCGCCAAGGCGTCGTCCAACACCCGACGCGCCGCTGCTTTGGTGCGTCCCTGCACCCGGTATCCGCCCAACGCGTTCACCGATTGCGGCGTCAGCCCGATGTGACCCATCACCGGCACGCCGGCGTCAACCATGCGTCGCACCGTGCCTGCAATCGACACGCCCCCTTCCATCTTCACGGTATGGGCCCCGCCCTCCTGCATCAGTCTGCCGGCGTTCCGAAGCGCTTCTGCGGCATCAACCTGGTACGACATGAATGGCAGGTCTACGACCACCAACGCTTCCGACGACCCGCGACTCACCATGCGCCCGTGCCGCACCATATCGTCCATGGTCACCGGCACCGTGGAATCGTATCCGAGCACCACCATCCCCAGGCTGTCGCCAACCAGAATGATCGGTATGCCGGCGGCATCGGCGATGCGCGCCGCCGTGTAGTCGTAAGCGGTGACCATCGGGATCTTCTCCCCGTCCCGCTTCATCTCGGCCAATTTTCGAATCGTAATCGCCATCGTGCCGCGATTTTATCAGCCAGACCCGCCGATTGTCCGCCTCATTTGCTCCAACTGTGCTTCCTCAACTCCCTTGGCCCGAGCGAGATGCAACGACGATTCCGTCAACTGGCGATACAGGGGCAGCAGATGAGCCGCGTGCCGCGCCAGCAGATCGAGATGCGCTGCCACCGTGTCGGCATCGCCACGCACCACCGGCCCCGTAACCGCATTGATCGGCCCCTGCCGCTCGATGGCCTCAATCGTAGCGCGCGCCAACGGCGCCGCAGCCCTGACCCCGTCCTCCTCGGTGAACCCCATGCTCGTCCACAATCCCACCGCGGCGTCCAGCAGCGTTGCCAGGTACCCGCAGCTCAGTACCGCGCTGGCGTGGTAGAGCGGGCGCATCTCGTCGGGGATTTCGATGCCTCGCCCGCCCAGCGACTGCGCCAGGTTCGGCAGAAACTCCGCTAGCCAGCCGGTTGCCGATATCGCAAAGGTCACTCCCCGCAGTCGTTCGGCCGCCTGCCCCGGTCCGCCGATGGCCGCGAATGTCTGAAAGGGGTGCATCGCACCGACATCCGCACCAGCGTCCGACGCCGGGCCCAGCAATTCAGTCGACGCCGCGCCACAGCAATGCGCCACACCTTGGCCCGGTCTCCAGTTGACCGTTCCCGCCACCTCAGCTATCGCCGCATCCGGTGTGGTGATGAACACCAGGTCGCAGGCGTCGGCCACCTGCTGCGCTGTCGCCGGCGCCGCGCATCCGTCGATGAGGCTGGCCGCGCGCTCGGCGCTCGCGGTCGTCCGGCTCGCGATTGCCCCGATCCGCCAACCGGCCGCGCTCAAGGCCAACGCCAACCCGCTGCCCAAAACACCTGCTCCCACGAAACCGATTGTAACTTCGTCAGCCCTGACCATGCGTCATCTCCGATATCGCCGGTATCCCCGCCAAACCCCGCGCGGACTGTATCGCGTCCAAAATCGCCAGCGCGGTCACGTGGGTGGCCGCCGTAACGATGGCCATCAAGTTCACGGGCGCGGAGTTCCGGCCCGTCGCCACGCAAAACATCGTATCGCCGTCGCTGGGCGTGTGGCACGGCCGAATGGTCAGCGCCATCCCGTCGTGGGATGAGGATGCGACGAAATTGACCTGCATCTTATCCAAATTTGCGTCCGTCGCCACGACGCCAATGGTGGTGTTCGTCAGCAACGATGTCCCGGACGAGGACGTTCCGGTCAACATAACCTCTACCGGATCCGCCATCGCGCCATCTTCGCCCCGGGGACCCGCGATCAAACCCCCGTCACGATGATCGTAGATCCCTCCCCACGCATTGACCGCAACTGCCGCGCCCACGGAGACACCGTCCGGCAGCACGCAACAAGCCGAACCAATACCCCCTTTGATCGCACCACCAATCCCAAGTGCCTTGGCCACCGTCGCGCCGGTTCCGGCTCCCACCGAACCTGCCGCCAGCACGTCCGCATCCGCCACTTCGCACGCCGCATAACCCGCCGCCCCGTCGGGACGCACGTCCGACCTGCCCACACCCAGGTCGTACAGTATCGCCGCCGGAACAATGGGAACGTGACCATGTGGCGTCTCGAAACCTATCCCGCGCTCTTCCAGCCACTGCTGCACCCCTCCGGCCGCAGCCAGGCCGAACGCGCTTCCCCCACTCAGCAAGATACCGTGGACCCGGTCGACCCGTCGGATCGGGTCCAGCAAATCGGTCTCCCGCGTCCCCGGAGACCCGCCGCGCACGGCGACGCCGCCCACCGCGCCATCCGTGCAAAGGATCACCGTGCACCCGGTGGCGGCGTCCGTGTCCGTCCAATGCCCCGCCGAAACGCCGGGTACATCAACGATGGAACCGGAATGTTCGCCGCGCGGGATCACTGCTCCCGCTCCGTTCCCACCGACGACAGCAGTTCTTCGGCTCGCTCCAGCAGATGATCCCGCCTTTCGGAGCTGAACCCGCGGCTCTCCAGGTACATCCGCAACGCAGCCAGGGGCTGGAGATCCGTCGGTTCCACCGAGATACGCCGGCGCTCCGCATCGGTGACCTCTCGGGAGATGCTGGCTACATAATGCGCTGCCGACAGCGACGGGCGCAGATCAGCGTCCCTAAGCTTCGCCGACTGTTCCGATGACAACTTGACCCTCAACCGCACGATCGCCCCGTCAACCCGGTGCCTCGCGATTGCTCGCGTCACGAATGCGGCGGGATTTTGCTCAACCTCCGGCACCGCAGCGTCCACGGTCACAAACGGGCGCGCCCCGATGGTTTGGAACCGGAAATCAGTCAACCTCTGCCCTTGCGGCGCCCGAGGATCGATGTCCACCAGGCAGAACCCCTTGTCGTCCGCTTCCTCGGAAAAATCCACCCGTTGCAGACTCCCGGAGTACGCGACCGCCGGCCCGTCCCCACCCGGCGGTCGCAGGACCTGGTGCTTGTGGATATGTCCCAACGCGACGTATTCCAGTTCCGGCCGTTGCACCGCGCTCGCGTTCAGTACATGGTCGTTCCCCAGCATCATGGACCGCTCCGAGCCTACGGTCGCCCCGTTCACGGTGACGTGCCCGGTAAGGATCGCCGGTTCATCGGGGTCGATCCCCTGTGCGCGGCCGGCGATCGCCATCGTCATCCTGCGCTCGGTCTCCGTACGTATCTCTTCGATACTGAGACCCCGCGACTCCTCTCGAGCCAGCATGGCTCCACGAGACGGCCACGGCACGGCGAGGATTTGCAGGGGACCCGCTCGCGTCGGCACCGTGTACGTTTGCAGGCTCGCTCCCACGTACACGTGGGGCACCTGAAGCGTGGAGAATATTTCCACCGCATGGGCCCGCCCGGTCGCGGCGGGCAGGTCGTGGTTGCCCGGCAGCAGAAAAGTCGCAATGCCGGCGTCTGACAGCCGCAGCAATCGGCGGGCCAATTCTCGCTGGTGGGTCTGAGTCGGATCGCGCCCCTTGTATGCGTCCCCGGCGAGTACCACCACATCAACATCGCCGGTCAGCGCATACTCCACCAGCTCGTCCAGCGCCTCCAGGAAATCTCCCAACCGCGTGGAGAGCCCGGTATTGGGATCGGTGCGGCCATAGTTCTCCACACCGATATGCAGATCGGAGAAATGCAGGATCCTCATTCGTGCCCGCGTTCGTGCGCTACTGCGGTCCTTCCGTCTCTGTCGGCAGTGGTAGGGCGGCTGGTGAGAGACGCACCGTTGACCCACGCACCGGTCCCGAACACCGTCGACGGCGCCAGATTACGCCCGCACCTCCTCCAAAAACCTCCCGGCGCTCTGCCGCACGAAGTCCTGGAGATTGACGGACATCAGCCTGACACCTCGCCCGCGAAACTCGCGGAACCGCCCACGTTGTCCACCGTCATGCCCGCGCCCGCAACGCCAATGATCTTGCCCTCTGCCAGCGTCCCCATCGATCACGCGGGCGATGGCCGCATCCACGTCGGCTGCGGCGGCATACCCATTGCTTGCGTCAGGTCGCTGCTGCCCACCAGGATGGCATCGACGCCATCCACGCTGGCGATGTCGCGGACGTTCGCCACCGCCTCCGGGGTCTCCACCATGCAGATCACCAGGGTTTCGCGGTTCGCAGCGTCGTAATATTCCGCCGGCGGCAGCCCGCTGCCCAGCCTGTTGGTGCGCCCGCCCGTGGAACTGCTCCGGTCGCCCATCGGATGGTAGTGGGTGGCCCTCGCCACGGCCTCGGCTTGCCCCCGGTTGTCGACATGCGGAACGATCAGTCCCTGTGCGCCGCGGTCCAAAAACCGTAATAGCGTGGAGGGTTCGGCGTTGGGAACCCTCACCACGGGAGTGATGTCGTGCAGTTCGGCCGCGCGGATCATGTTTTCCGACTCCGAGTCGTTCGACGACCCGTGCTCGCAGTCAATCCAGACCCAATCGAAACCCAGCACGCCGTACATTTCAACCACGATCGGAGCGTAAAAATTCACGCTGCCTCCGACCGCGATTTCGCCGGCCAATAGCTTGGCCTTGGCTCGGTTCGTTCTGACCATATCCCTCTCCGTTTCCCGCCGGTATCACCTGCCTGGGTAGGTGATCTCGTGGATTTTGATGTGGAAGTGGAGAATGCCGGGCGGCCTGTAAGCCGGGTTCTGTATCCGCCTGAGCGGACGGTGACCATCTATCTAGCCCCGGATACGACGCGTGCCGTATCGCCCTGTGAGGCAGGGCAGCGTTACCGCCGGGGTCGAGCGGCCAACCCGGGGACGGGCCGGACACCCATAGTCCCCCTATTTGGCCTTGCTCCAGGTGGGGTTTGGCCGCCGGTGCGTCGCCGCACTCGGCCGGACGCTCTTACCGTCCGATTTCGCCCTTACCGGTTCGTCATCGACGCCCCGGCGGTATGTTTCTGTGCCACTTTCCGTCCCCGACGTGGTCGCCCACGCCAGAGCCTGGGCGTTACCCAGCACCCTGTCCGGAGGAGCCCGGACTTTCCTCCCCGAGGTGCAAGACCTCGCGGCGGTCACCCGGCCGGTCCGGCGTTCTCCACCTGCGAGGCTAGCATGGCCATGTAAGAGGGTCAAGCAATTCAAACGGGGGTAACTGTTCAGAGTTGGTGAGGCGAACGCGGCGTTTCCCGCCGCCTGTCGCTCCGAGTGAGCATGATCAGACGGGATTTCGACATGGTGGGAACGCACTGCGATGCCCATATCCACTCAAGTCTGAACAGTTCAACGGGGCATGGTGACGCCGTTTCAAACGGCGTATTACGATTCCGAATAAATCGGGTCGGGTTGGGCTGTTTCGCTGGGATGCCGTGTGCGCGGCTATGCATTCGCTGGGTGAATGCGACCTGAGCGGCGCCATTGGGGTCGACGCTGTGCTGCGTTGCCTCGGCTCATTCGTCCAGAATGACTACGGTGACGCGGCTGTTGGCGGCCCGTTCCCGATTGGCGTCGGAGATGGAGCTTCCGATCACGGCGGCGCGGGTGGCTACTCGGCTGGCGTTCTGTAAGATGCGGGACCGATGATCGGCCCGGTCAATGTCGCCGTCATCTATTGTGATTGAGATCTCACCCACCACATAAACATCGTCGCCGTCTGGCGAATTGCCGCGCAGGATGATGTCTGCGCGGTCCAACTCGTCGGCGTCGTCTTCAGTGATGATGCCTTGGTCGGCTCCCGCGTCGAGCAGGTCCGTGATTGTTTGACCGTCTGGACGGTTGATGGCTACGAGGACTTGTCCGTTGCTGACGCCCAGGTGTCTCCGGACAATGCGATGTGCCCGTCGGACGACCTTGCGCTCGTAATCGGTGCCGGTCAGGTTGTTGAGCTGCCCTTGCATGGTCGTCTGCTGGCCTTGCATGGTCGTCTGCTGGCCTTGCATGGTCGTCTGTTGGTCGGACAGGTGGTTGATCTGGCCTTGCATGATCGTCTGTTGGTCGGACAGGTGGTTGAGCTGGCCTTGCATGATCGTCTGTTGGTCGGACAGGTGGTTGAGCTGGCCTTGCATGGTCGTCTGTTGCACCGTCAGATCGTCCACTTTGAGCGCGACATCATCGACCCGGTTCTCCACGGCACCTAGCCGGTTCTCCACGGCGCCTAGCCGGACCTCCACGGCATCGAGCCGGACCTCCACAGTACCGAGCCGGTTCTCCACCGCATCGAGCCGGTTCTCCACGGCGGTCAACCTTTGGTCGGAAACCCTTGCCATCTCCGCTATGGTGCTGGCGAGGTCGCTGACAGCGTCAGTCAGTTCGGCTACTTTCTGGGGCAAGTCGAGGATTTCCTTAGAGGGTTGTATAAAAAGGTTTTGTGAATTGAATGGAAAATTGGGGAGGTAGAGTTAGGGTAGGTAATTAGGGTAGAGGATACAGGCGTGATAAGGGGATTGGTCTTAACGTGGGGCGCATTGAAAACGACCAGCCTATCCCAGCGACCCTCAGCGACCGAAATGGCAACTGCTGGAACCATTGCTGCCACCGCCCAAAACGGGCCGGCCGACCCATCCACCTACCCCCGGCGGGGAGATCGTCAAGCATCCGCTACGTGCTGCGCACTGGGTGCTCCTGGCGGATGCTGCCCCACGACCTGCGCCGTGGCGCATTGTCTTCCACTACTTCCGACCTGGCGTCGTGATGGCACCTGCAAGGTAATGGCGTCCTGCACGCCGAGCTGCGCCAGGCTCAGGGTCGCCAGGCCAGTCCCAGCGCGGCCATCATCGACAGTCAGTCGGTGAAGACCACGGAAAAAAAAGGGGCCCAGAGCTACGACGCGGCAAACGAAGGTGAAGGGCCGCAAACGCCACATCGTGGTGGATACCCTGGGGATGCCGCTGGCGGTGGCAGTGCATCCCGCCGACATTCAGGACCGGGACGGCGCCACCGGTTGGTACTGACCGGCTTGGGCCAGTTTCCCTCGACTACAGTGATATGGGCTGATGGGCCTACGGCGGCAAATTGGTTAGAGTGGGCCAGGCGGTGGTGGAGCTGGACCCTGGAGTTGGGCGGCGCCCAGCACAGCAGCATAACCTTCAGTGCCTGCCTCGGCGGTGGGTCGTGGGAAACGCACCTTCGGTTGGATGAACCTGAAAACGACGTTGAGCAAGGACTACCAAGATTGTGTGATCGATGAAACACCAAAATGGATTTACATGCAAGACCGGCCTCACCCTGCGCAGACTGGCCCGCCTCCTCATTTTTAGAAACCTCTTAGTGAGGATGCGCTGGCGCAGCATCGCTTCCAGCTGAGGATCGTCGTCCAAGGCTGCCAGAAGTTCCGTGATGGCGTTGGGGGTGGTCATAGTGGGTTGCATTCCACAGCGTGTCGTTTCAGTGTAGCGGGATAGGTTGGATTGCGAAAGTGTTGGTTGCCGTTTCAGTTTGGAAGACGGGCAGCGCGCTCGGACGGGGTTCCCATTGTTAGTTGGCGCGGGCTGTTTGGCTCGGCGGGTTGAGCATGGACATCATCGAGTTTCGTAATGCGCCATTTCAAAATGAGACACCACCAACCGGGGGTAACCGTTCAGAGGCGGTGAGGTGAACGCCGCGTTTGCCGCTGCCTGCGGCTCCGCGCGAGCAAAATCAGGCAGGATTTAGACACGCGAGAGCACACCGCGATGCCCGGATCCACTCATGCCTGAACAGTTGCGCCGCAACGCCAGCGCAATCACACTCCAGGCGCCCCTCCCGCATCCCCACTCCCACCCATCGCCGGCCGACACCGCAACCGCCATGGTGACACCCCCACACCGCCAAACGCCATAACGAGCCCGCCCAACTGTCATTGCGAGCGCAGCGTGGCAATCTCGTCGCCGCAGCACCGACCCTTCCCGCAAGCCGTCGCATCACCCCGCCCCATCCGCCCACCACGCCGGCCGAAAAATTGCTGACACCCACCCCAAGCGCGAACGAACGCCCGTCCTATATCCTGTACACCAGTCAGACAGGCGGACCCCAGCCGGACGGCGAAACCTCGTACACGTTTCGCCGTCCGCACTCCCCGGCGCCAGGGAACGACCGGTCCACCCGTCTGAACATAACATCGGGAATATCGGGTCAACAGTCCAGGTTCAACGGCCTAAAACCGCTGCGGGCTCCGGCCTGCGGCGCGTCGGATTGCAACTCGCTGCCTCGCATCCTCTCGCCGTCTTATTCAACGGAACGGGTGCGCGGTGGCGCGGCGGGTGTGACCTCCGCCCCGTGTCGGCTCTCGCGCTTGCCGCGAAAGCCGGGACATGGAAGCTTGGCACTGGAATCTCGCAGACAACGCTCTCAGGCCGTGGCGCCGACAACCTGGACCCCAAGACCCGATCCCCGATGTTCAACCCTCACCGACACCCACCAACCGTAATAGGAGTTTCAACCTTCCACCGACAGCGGGGGACCCACCCCGTCCCGTATCGTATCGTCACGCCATGATTGCGCGCGCCGGCTCGTGCTTGCGTTCCCAGCCTTGGGTTCGTTTCCGGCTGGCCGCAGCTATCTGGCAAACCGGGGTTGCGACGGCCGTGCGCCGTCCGCGGCCTCGGTCCCCCTTCGAGGATTAAAATGGGTACCGTAAATCATCATCAAGAGAGGAGCATGGCGTTTCTCTCTCGCGCCCGTACCGCCGGCCAGGCCGGCGACATCGCCGATGCCGCCGTCGCGCTCCGTCGGTCCGTGTCCCACGCGGCAACCGCCCTCGCGGTCAACGCTGGGTTGTGTCACAACACCCGGCACCGGCTGGAAATAGCCATCCACGGATGCGTGAGCAGCGGTCGCATGAGCCGCTCCCACGTCAAGACGTTTCGGCAAGTGCACAGCCTGCCCGAATACCTGGCATCGGAGGAAACCCGCCACGGCAAGCGCGTGGGCGATCGCGGCTGCCCGCTGCGTCGTCTCCGGCGTCGTGTCGCCGCGCTGCTCAAGGACGCTGATGCCATCATCGCCGGCAATCCCCGGCCCGTCCGCTATCACAAGCGTTGGGCCCGTGGCCTGCCGCCCCGTTTCCGACCCGAGGACCTCCCGCCCATCACCAGCGTGCGCGACATCCTCGACCTGCCCAACTACGGCGAGATCGTCGCCGAATGGAAGCTCGAAAAGGTGCCCCTGATGCGGAGTGCGGACCCCCACGGTTGGTACGAGCGCGGCGCCGTTCCAATCCGCTGCCCCTGCCACCCGGAAACCGGCGAAATATCGACACACCGCGACACCCGTTTTCCCTTGTCCCCCATCTGGCAAAAGGTCTTGGAACGCGTTCTGGGCACCCCAATCCCGGACGTCCTCCGGGCATAACCCAGGCTGCGCCCGCATGTTCCCTAATGTCATTGCGAGCGCAGCGCGGCAATCTCGTCGCTGTCGCCCGAGCCGAAGGGCATTCTTCCCGCGCTATGTATAATGGCGGACATCACTTCTCAAAGTCCCCAACACTCGCCTGAGGTAATCGGAATGGCCACGGAACCCGTCAATATTTTTGAGTACGAACAGATCGCGAAAGAGCGGATCGAGCAGGGACACTACGATTTCATCGCCGGCGGAGCCACCGATGAAATTACCATCCGTCGAACCCGGGCCGTGTTCGATTCCATCATGTTACGCGCCCCAGGATGATGGTGGACGTCGAGAACCGGTCCCTGGCCACCACGGTCTTGGGACAGGAAATAGCTCTCCCGGTGATGCTGGACCCCGCCGGCAATCACGGTGCCGCCCATCCGGAGGCGGAGATCGCAACGGTCAAAGCCGCCGGCGCAATGGGAACCCTCATGGTTCTCAGCTCCCACGCCTCCCGCACCTTGGAGGACGTGGCCGCGGCCGCCGCCGGCCCGCTCTGGTTCCAGCAGTACTTCTTCAAAGATCGGGGCCTGACCCTGGAGATGGCGGCCCGCGCGGAGGAAGCCGGATACTCCGCCATCTGCATGACCCTGGACGCCAAAATCAAACCCAAGCGGGAACGCAACATCCGCAACGATTACGTCGGCGCGGACTCGCCCAACTATGCCCAACTGGACCTCGGCACCCACAGCTGGAAGTTCGCGGCGGACGCCCCGGCCGGGCCTAGCGACATCAGGGACGTGGCATCCACCTGGGACGACCTCGACTGGTTCGCATCCAACATCCGACTGCCTGTCGTGGTCAAGGGAATCATGGCCGGCGAGGACGGACGCCTTTCCGCCGAAAACGGCGCCAAGGCGGTGATCGTTTCCAATCACGGCGGACGCTACCTGGATACCACTCCGGCCACCATCGAAGTTCTTCCTGAGGTGGTGAACGCTGTCGACGGCAATGCCGAGGTGTACCTGGACGGTGGAGTTCGTCGCGGCACCGACATTTTCAAAGCCATCGCGCTGGGCGCACGCTCGGTGTTAATTGGCCGCCCTCTCTTCTGGGGACTGGCGGTTGACGGCTCCCCTGGGCTCGCTGCCGTCCTCGAGCTGCTGCGGGACGAATTGGATGCCACCATGGGCATGTGCGGTTGTCCCACGGTGGAAAGCATCAGTTCGGCAACCATTGATACCGTCTCTCCGCTGCTCGCTTCGTTCCCCTCCCCCGCAGATTTCAGGTAGCCCCGTCCCGACCGTTACGGTGCACCGGGTCATTCGTGTTTCCTAAATGCCATCGCGAGCGTGTTGTTCCCAAATGTCATTGACGAGCGCGTTTTCGCTAAATGTCATTGCGAGCGAAGCGTGGCAATCTCGTTCCCGTAGCAATCGCTCTTGCCAAAAACCGATGCGTTGCCCTGCCGACCGCCGCCTCGTGTCATTCCCCACGACGATGATCGAAACGCCCTGCCGGCGCAGCCCCCGCGTTGACGCCGCCATAACCGGTCGTTATCATTCTTCAACGTATGTGTAGCGCGGGCTCCGGTTTCACTTGAACGCCTTGCCGACCACTCCGGGTTGAGTGGTGGGCGGGTGCGTCGCGCGCCGGGTGAACAGCCGTTTCCCCTTCATCACCGCGTTCGCGTTTCCCGTCTTCTCTGTATCGATTGAGCGTCTCCTGACGCCGGCCTCAAGAATGATGGTGAAACCTACATGCTCCAACGCCTCGTGGCGCGCGCTGCCGTTGCTGTTGCCCTGATCTCGGCGATTCTGGTCGTCACCGCCTGCACGGAAGCCGAACAACCCGCCCTTTACGTGGGCGGGGTACCCGACCAGGACGTCGCCGTCCTGGAAGCCCGCTTCAACCTCCTCGCCGAACACCTCGCCGAGGAAACCGGAGTCGCCGTCCGGTATCTTCCTTCCCAGTCCTACGCCGCTCTGGTGACCGGTTGGGACAACGACGACGTCCAACTGGCCTGGTACGGCGGGCTCACCGGAGTTCAGGCGCGGTTAGCTGTTCCCGGCTCCCGCGCCGTCGCCCAGCGCAGCACCGATGAAAACTTTTCCTCGGTGTTCGTCGCCGCCCCCGACTCCGGCATATCCTCGCTGTCAGACCTCAAGGGACGCACCTTCACCTTTGGCAGCGAGAGTTCTACCTCCGGCAACCTGATGCCCCGGTTCTTCCTGGACCAGGAAGGCATCGTCCCCGAGACGGATTTCAAAAGCGTGGCCTACAGCGGGTCCCACGACGCCACCTGGAAACAGGTCGAGGCCGGCGCCGTCGAAGCCGGCGCTCTCAATGCCAACGTGTGGAAAACCCGTTTGGAAAAGGACGACGTTGACACTTCCAGGGTCGCCGCTTTCTACACGTCTCCCGGCTACGTCGATTACCACTGGGTGGTCCGACCGGGCCTAGATGAGGTCTACGGCGCCGGATTCACCCAGCGCGTGCTCGATGCCCTGCTCAAGCTGAACGCTTCCAACGGCGGCCGCGATCAGGAGATCATGGATGCCTTCCAGGCTGATCGGTTCATTCCAACGTCCAATGAAAATTACGCGCCCATCGAAAACATCGCCCGCGATCTCGGCCTCATCTCTGAACAGTAACCACCCGGCCGTCGCGATCCGCCGGGCCGGCAAGACCTACGGAGAAGTCGAGGCGGTTCGTCCGCTCTCGTTCACCATCGAGCCGGGCGAGACCGTCGCGTTGCTCGGGCCCAGCGGCAGCGGCAAGACCACCCTCCTGTCCATGATCGCCGGTGAGTTGGAGCCGTCCGAAGGATCCATCCTCCTGCGCGGCAAAGACCTGGCCCAACTCCATCCGGGCCGCCAGCTCTGCCGCGAGGTCGGCATGATCCACCAGCAGTTTGACCTCGTGCCCAACCTCTCAGCATTGCAAAATGTGCTGGCCGGCCGGCTGGGCGAGTGGAGCCTCCTCAAATCGGTAATCTCGCTGGTGTGGCCCCAGGAGCGGCAGGTGGGCATGACCGCCCTGGAACGCGTGGGCGTCAGGGATCGCGCTCGTGTGCGCGCCGGCTTTCTGTCCGGCGGCGAGCAGCAGCGCGTGGCCGTCGCCCGCCTTCTCGTACAGGACCCCGCCATCATCATTGCCGACGAGCCGGTATCGTCCCTGGACCCGGCGCGGGCCGACGAGGTGATGGGCATCCTGACCGAATCGGCCCGCCAGGCCGGAAAGACTTTGGTTGCCACCGTCCATTCCCCCGACGTGGCTCGAACCTATTTCGGACGCCTCATCGGTCTCCGCAACGGTGAAATGGCATTCGACCTTCCCTCCCACAAAGTCACCGATGATCACTTGGCCGCCCTCTATGCATTGGAGGGCCTGCGGGATGAATGACCGCCCGCACGAGGGATCCTTGGGCGGACGCGGCGCGCTCACCGCGATATTGCTGATCGCTTTTTCCATCAGCCTGGTCGGCATCGGCTGGGACGATGGCCTACTCAACACCGGCGGCGTGCGCGCCGTGGGTCAGATCCTGGCGGCCGCCGTCCAACCCCAGATATCTCTCGACATCCTCTCCATCGGCGCCCGCTCCACCTGGACCACCCTCGCCTACGCCTGGGCCGGCATGACCGTCGCGCTGGTCATCGGCATCCCACTGGGGATCATCGGCTCCGGAACCCTGGTCCGGTCCCCCTGGGCCCGCCGTTGGAACATCTCGTCAGCGCGCTTTGCGCTGGCGGTTTTTCGCGCCATCCACGAGTTGGTGTGGGCCTGGCTTTTCGTTGCCGCTCTCGGCCTGTCACCCATGGCCGGCGTGCTGGCGCTGGGCTTGCCCTACGGCGGCATCCTCGGGCGAATCTACGCCGAACTGCTGCAGGACGTTCCGGAAGCCCCGCTCCGGGCGCTGCGTGGCGCGGGAGCGTCGGAGTGGCGGGTTTTCTGGTTCGGTCCGGCTCCCAATGGCCCTGCCCGACATGCTCAGCTACACCTTCTACCGCCTGGAGTGCGGCATACGGTCGGCCGCCATCCTGAGCTTCGTTGGCCTGGGCGGACTCGGGCACAACATCCAGATTTCCCTACAGGACATTGACTACACCCGCATGTGGACCTTCGTCTATTTCCTCATCGCGCTGGTGGTGGTGGTGGATATCTGGAGCTCATTGGTGCGGCGTCGCGTGGCCATCGAGCAGGGTTAGGTCATGGCCACTCGATATAGTCGCGGCGAACCCGTAGCCCGCGGCGGAGCCACCGCCCCTAGCGCCCCGGCGCGCCGCGTCGGATTCCTCGCCGCCTCCGCCGCCATCGCCTTTTGCATGGCCGTAGCGGCGTGGGCGACTATCGTCGGCGACGATCACTTCCCCCGCCAGGACCTGTTCTCCTTCGGGGCGCTCGCCCGGGCTGCGGACTTTGCCGGCGCGTTGATCGGATCGGAAACCTCGGCCACTCCAGCGTTCTACAAAGCTGGAGAATGGGCGGAAAAAGCGCGCATGGCCGCCGAAACCCTTGCCATGAGCGTGGCGGCGGCGGGTTTGGCCGCCCTGGGAGCGCTGGCCACCTTCATGTTCGGCGCCCGCAACGTGATGCTGGGCAGCCTCGCTCCCTACCAGTCACCGTTGTGGACCGCTCCGTTTTTCCTGGTGCGGGCGCTGTTCACCGTGAGCCGCGCCGTTCCCGAACTGGTTTGGGCCATGATCCTGGTGTTCATCTTCACCCAGGGAACCCTGCCCGGTGTGATCGCCCTGGCGATCCACAACGGCGGCATCCTGGGAAAGTTGGGTTCCGAAATCGTCGAAGGGCTGGACACTCGCCCGATGCGCGCGCTGCGTTCCACGGGCGCGGGACGCTTGCAGGTGCTGCTTTACGGCGTGCTCCCCGAGGCTCTGCCCAAGTTCGTCACCTACCTTTTCTACCGTTGGGAGGTGATCATCCGGACGACCATCGTGGTGGGGTTCGTCGCCGCCGGCGGCCTCGGGATGGAATTCCGCCTGGCGATGAGCCACTTCAAATTCACCGAGGTCACCCTCATCCTATTCTGGTACCTGCTCCTGGTCCTGTTCGTGGACATCGTGTCCGCCCAACTGCGCAAACTGGCCGCCTAGTTATGGCTATTGGCGGTCGGGATCGTAGGTATCCGGCGGCTCGACCCCGTGAAACATGGAATATTCTGATATGACCGATCTCCGTCCTCCGATTTCGCCCCATACCATGATCGAGTAGACGCCATCTCCGTTCCGGTCATACTACTCCGCCAATGTCGGCCTGCACCGCAAACTCCGTTCCGCGAGCCGTCCACTCCAAGGCGGTAACCCACGGTACGGTGATAGTTTGAGGCTGAAGTGAAGCGCTGGCATCATACGCCTCTTGCCACGCTTGGTGCGCCTCATCGTGCGAGCGGGGACCCGGTGCGCCCGCCGCGACATCGTAGGGGTCCGGGCAAGGGTTATGTGTGATGGTGAATTCGTTCGCGGTGTAATTGCTGTTACCTGAAAGTGGTGGACGCAATCCGGCTACCATCCGCCCGTTGGCGTAGCAGTAAGTCCGGGCTACCTGCCCCCGGGTGAGTGTATGCGGCGGCGGATCATAATATATCTGTGCGCCCAGATCTCGCTCTTGGCTGAACCGCACCCCGTTCTTCGTGGTTCCGGAAAACGACAGGACCCCGTTTGATATGGCCGGCAGGCGATCGAACTCAACATAATTCCCCTCAAAATGCTGGTACATCACCGTGTTGTATCGGTCCCAGGCCATCCCGACATTCACCTGTTGGTGCTGTGGGTCCAGGATGTTGCGGCGGTGTCCGGGGCTGCTCATCCAGCCGTCCATGGCGCTTTCGATCTCTTGCCTGATACTGTCGTTGGCACGGTAACCGTCAGCCGCGCTGATGCAATAGTCCAATCCGTGACCGTTTTCCCCGTTGGACTGGTAGCCCCCGGCCAGGCTGTAACGCATATAGGGCTTGAGACCATCGATGCCCCAGTGGGATGAAAAGCAGTTATCCAGAGCGGAATCGGCGTGCAGTTGGGCGGCAATGTTGTCCCCCAAAGCGACCGAATTCAACCCGGCCCGCTGGCGTTCGGCGTTGATCAGGCCCAGCATGTACTGCTTTTCATCTATATGCCGCAGTTCCGGCGGCGGCGGCGGTACCGGTGTCGCAGTGGGCGTGGGTGCCAGCGTTGCCGTCGGCGCTGGTGTGAAAGTTGGCGGCAATGTTGGAGACGCCGTTTGAGCTAAAGCAGGACGCCGCGTTGCGCTGTGCGCTGCCGTCGCCGTTGGCGCGGACGCAACAGTGCGAACCGGCGTATACGTAGGTTCCGGCGGTGTGTTCGGGCCGGATTCCGCAGCAACCGTAGCAGCCGGCGAACGTGGCCCGCTACGCGGGGGAGCCGTGGCGACGGCTCCCCTTGCGTCGATCTTGGCGAGTGCCGCATTAATCGTGGCCTGCAGGTCCGGCGTGGCCGACGAGTCCGGCCCTGTTTCCGGCTGACCGCCGCCGCCGAAACACGACAGCGACATCACAGTTAAGGCAGCACAGGCTACCAATAACGCTGTGCGCACGATTCTACGGTCCCTTGGTTCAGTTACTCCGCGTCAGGATGCGTCGTGATAAACCGCGCCGCCCTTTCCGGATCCACGTCCGGGGCCCGCACTTCTACTCCCGCCTGTTCTTCTTGCAGGCGCACGGTGCTGCTGCTGTCGGCCTGACCCCAGCCGCGGTTCATCGCCTGCAGCGAGATCTGCTGCGCCAGGGTGGACATAGGCATGGGCACGTCATACTCCCGCGCCAGTTCCGTTGCCAACGAGATGTCCTTGTGCGCCAGGTTCAACGCGAAACTCGCCGGCTCAAACTCCCCACGAAACATCGTCCGCACTAACCCCTCGTGCAGGAACGACATGCGGCCCAACGCTCCACGCCGCACGCATTCCCAAAGCGGTTCGGGATCCACGCCGGCCTTGACGCCCAGGGTCAATCCCTCCGCGATGGCCTGCCGCACGCTGTGCCCGATCATGTTGTGCACCAGCTTCGCCACGCTCCCGGCCCCGATCTCACCGGCGTAGAACACCTTGTCGCCAAAGGCGTCCAGGATCGGCTTCACCCGGTCGAACACCTCGCGATCTCCGCCCACCATCACCGCCAGGTTCCCCGACGCCGCTCCCGTCTTGCCTCCGCTCACCGGCGCGTCCAGGACGTGGCAGCCCTTGGCGCGAAACTTCGGCTCGATCTCCCGGATCAGCGTGGGACGGCTCGAGGACAGGTCGATGTACACGCTGCCCGGCTGGATACCCTCCAGCACTCCCCCGGCTCCCGTCGCCACCGCATCCACCTCGTAGGGACCGGGCAATGACGTGAAGGTCACGTCGCTGGCCGCGGCGACCTCGGCCGGCGTGTTGGCCAGGCGGGCACCGCCCTCCAGCAAGGGCAGTGCGACCTCCTCGCGCAGATCGTAAACAATCATCGGGTAGCCGGCCCGTTGAATGTTGGCGGACATCCCGCCGCCCATGTTGCCCAAACCAATGAATCCTACAGTTTCCATAACGCGTCACCTGTTCCGATTTTGGGTTCGTTAGTCCGGCAGTATATCGCACCCGGACGGGACGATTGGGTCGCCATGCTATAATCGGGACAGATGCCCCGTGGTGTAGCGGTAGCACGTCAGCCTTTGGAGCTGTAAGCCCTGGTTCGAACCCAGGCGGGGCAGCCAAATGGCCTCCGACTCGAAAATTTCTGGGCGACCGGTTGGTCGCCCCTATTTGTCGGTTCGTCGTTCCAGGTACATGGGCATTCCGCCCTTCGGCCGCAGCGAAATCAACGGCAGCATTTCGGCCTTGTGCCGCGGGTCCTGGCGAACCTTCCACTGCTGCCCCAGGGTCGCCAGGATCATCTTGGCTTCCATCATCGCGAAGCCTTCGCCGATGCACTGGCGCGGTCCCCCGCCGAAAGGGTAGTACGCGTAACGCGGCAGCTCGTTCCGGAATTCCTCGGTCCACCGTTCCGGCCGGAAAGCCAGGGGCTCATCGAACCACCGCGCGTCCCGTTGGATCACCAGTTGCGGCGCCGCCAACAACGCGCCCGGCGGTATGCGATACCCGCCGAGGTCGAAAGGCTGGAAAGCCATCCGCGACCAGAACCAGATCGGCGGGTACAGGCGGAGTCCCTCCGCCAGTACCTTGTCGGTATAGGTCAAATTCGCCAGATCCGACAACTGGGGTGCCCGGTCGCCCAGAACTTCATCCAGTTCGGCGTGAAACCGCCGTTGCGTCTCCGGATTCGTCGCCAGCAGAAACCACGTCCAGGTGAGGCAGACCGCGGTGGTCTCATGCCCCGCAGCAAACATCGTGATGGTCTGGTCGCGCACCTGCTGGTCGGTGAGCGGCTGCCCGACACCGGCGTCGTCCTCGAGACGAGCGTCGAGCAGCAGTGAAAGCAAATCGTCTTCGCCCGTGGATCTTTCCCGCCGCTCGGTGATCAGCCCCAAGATGATGCGGTCCAGTTCCGCCCTTGCCCGCCGGAACCGCACCGTGTACGGCACCGGCAGTCGGTGCAGGAGCCGGCGCATTTTCGGCGGTTGGTTCACTCGCGCCACCAGGTAATTGTTGATCAGTTCGAACGCCTCGCCGATCCGCCGCGCGTCGTCGGGCAGCTCCAGTCCAAAGAGCGTCTTGACCACTATCCGCAGGGTGAGCGCTCCCATCTCCTGCGCCATGTCCACCCGCTGCCCGTCGGTCCACGCAGTCCGGTGTTGAGCAGCATATTCCCGCATCAACTCCCCATAACCCTCGATGCGACCCCGGTGGAACTGCGGCTGCATCAACCTTCGCTGTTGCAGGTGGTCGGCGGGCCCGGCAGTCACGAGACCGTCGCCCATCGCGTACTTGAGCACGTCGGCGTTCGGCCCGCGCCCCACCAGCCGGTGGTTCGTGACCACCACGTCCCTGATGAGATCTGGGTGGTTGACCATCAGCAGGAGGGCCGGCTTGACCGACAACGTGACCAGGTCCCCGTAGCCGGCCGCCTCCTGCATGAACCGAATCGGGTCCCGGATGTATCGGAGCGTCTGCCCGATGACGGGCAGTTCCGACGGCCCCGGAGGGAGCTCCTTGCGGTCAACGACCGGCCGCGGCGGATATGTGACCGTGGATGTCGTCATGGTTGCCGCCCGGCGATCACCGTGCCCGGCAACCTGCAGCGCGGGAAACGACTAATCGTCCAGCGGTACGGTGGCCGTCAGTCGGGGCTGGTCGCCCACTGCACGGGTAGTGTGACCCTGGCCGGTGAGGTCCTCGGCCAACATGGCCTGCCCCGCGCCGAACCGGTGCACCGACCCGTCTCCCAGGCCGATCTCAACCTCGCCTTCCAGCGTGATGACAAACTGGCGTCGCGGCGCGCAGTGCCAGTCGCTGAAACGGCCCGGGTCCACCCGGCGGAACGATATGCCCTTGGCAGCCTGCATCGCCTCGTACTCCGGGTGAGATTCCAGTTCGATTTGTTCGATGTGTGACTGCCCGTCGTCACCCGTGTAAAGCCTCGCGATCGGCATGGTCATCCCCCTTGTGTATAGTGAACTTGCGCCCTGTTGGGACCAATTCTACCAAAATCGACTTTCCTTCGGGTCCGGTTAATCTAAACCTGTTTCTCCCGCGGATCCCGGGGCGTTCTCCCCCACCCAAGGTTGGCAAGCGCGCGATGGCTCAACCAATTCCAGCCCGAATCGCCCGTGCCGAAATCTGCCGTCTCCTGGAGCCGCCGTGCTCGCTGGGGTGAGTTTCGGTTGACCGATGTTTACTGCCTTGTTAGAATGCCCGGCAGTCTATTATTTCGGGCGGTCATGCTTACAATCGGTTTAACCGGCGGTATTGGAAGTGGCAAAAGCGTAGTTGCCGAGCTATTGCGCGAGCAAGGCGCGTCGATAATCGACGCCGACAGGCTGGGTCACGAGGCTTACGCACCGAACTCCGAGGCTTGGCGTCAGGTCGTTGCAGCCTTTGGAGAGGACATCCTGACCACGGAAGGCGAAATCGATCGGCGCAAACTCGGTTCCATAGTATTCGCTGACCCGGCCGAACTCGAGCGGCTCAACGGCATCATGCATCCATTGATGGCTCGCATGGTCGAAGACCGTAAGGGTGGCCTCGTCGCCCAAGGCATTGACGTCGCGGTGGTCGAGGCGGCGGTCCTCTTCGAGGCGGGTTGGGATAAACTGGTCGACGAAGTCTGGTCCACCTTCACCCCAGCCGACACCGTGGTCGAACGCCTCCGCGAGCGCAACGGGATGGCCGAAGAGGAAGCCAGAAAACGAATTAACTCGCAGATGCCGGCGGCAGAGCGCAACCGGCGTTCCGACGTGGTGGTCGAAAACTCTGCTGATTTGGCCACATTGGAACGCGCAGTGGCGGCTCTGTGGCAGGCTCGAGTCAAAGGAAAGGTAAATCAAGGCAATGGTTGAAGCAAACATCGAAATGCTGGAAGACAAACCCAGTTTCAAAGAGTTCGCCATCGAAGAGTTCCTGGTCCGCAGCGAACCGTACTATCGCGCCGTCGGCGACGAGTTGGAATTGTTCGAGGCTGCTTATGAGCAGCACATCCCAGTCCTGCTCAAGGGTCCCACCGGGTGCGGCAAGACCCGCTTCGTGGAATACATGGCGTGGAAACTCGGCCGACCCATCACCACGGGTCGGGACGAGGCGGGGCAGGTAATCCGGGAAGGTGAGGTTCGCGTTCCTCTGGTAACCATTGCCTGTCATGAAGACCTCACCGCCAGCGATCTAGTGGGTCGCTATCTGCTGGATGCCAACGGCACCCGCTGGATCGACGGGCCCATGACCCGAGCGGTCAAGGCCGGCGCCATCCTGTATTTGGACGAAGTGGTGGAGGCCCGTAAGGACACCACCGTTCTGATCCACCCCCTCACCGACCACCGGCGCATCCTGCCCGTCGAAAAGACCGGCAACATCATCGAGGCCGATGATCGCTTCCTGCTCTGCATCTCCTACAACCCCCATTACCAGAGCGCCCTGAAAGACCTGAAGCACAGCACTAGGCAGCGGTTCATCTCCATTGAATTCGACTACCCGCCGGTTGACGTGGAAACCGAAATCGTGGCCAAGGAAAGCGGCTGTTCCGACGAAGAAGCTTACGCCCTGGCTCGCCTCGGAGACAAGATTCGCAACCTCCGTGAGCACGGCCTAGCCGAAGGCGCCAGCACTCGCCTCCTGATCTACGCCGGACGGCTGATGCGGCAGGGCATCGCCGCCCGCCGCGCCTGCCAGGTCGCTATCGTGTGGACCCTGTCAGACGAGGCCGAACTCCAGCGCAGCATCGAAGAGGTTGTGCACTCCATCTTCGAGTAACTGATGGAACTTCCATGGGTGCAATCACCCTCGATCTAGTCCGCAATGCGCTGGCCAACCGCCAGCGGATTACTGCCGCCGCTGAAGGCCTGATGCCGGCGGCAGTAATGCTGTTGCTGTACCCGAAGGACGGAGAGTTCTGCGTTCTGCTGAACAAACGCTCCATGACGGTGGAGCACCACAAGGGAGAAATGTCGTTCCCCGGCGGCGCCCGCGATCCTGAGGACGCGGATTTTGAGGACACCGCCCGGCGCGAAACCGAAGAGGAGATGGGCATCGCCCGCGATGACATAACGATTTTGGGACGCCTTGACGACAACGTCACTCGTTCCAACTTCATCGTGAAAGTCTTCGTTGGGACCATCCCCTACCCATACCAATTCAACCCCAGCTCGCACGAAATCGCAGAGGTTGTCGAAATTCCCGTCAATGTTCTGCGCGATCCTGCCACGCTGCGCTGGGACTCCCGAATCGATAATGGCGCGAGGATTTCGGTGCGCTCCTACGGCTACCAGCAGCATCTCGTCTACGGAGCCACCGCCACAATCCTCGACCAGTTCCTCGACACCATCGATGCCGAGCTGACAATCGATGCCGAGCTGACAAAGGAGGACACGAGCCTTGACTAATCCCGCTACAGGCAACCTGCTGGACGAACTGGCCAAACTACCCCCGGCAGTTACCGAAGCCTATCAGGCCGTCGCCGACACCATGGCCGAATCCTTCAGCGACGAAGAAGCGGCTTTGTGGGCCCGCGAGGGAGTCTCCATCGGCACCCAGACGGTCCGCTCTTGGGAATCCGCGGTGGAATACTACCGCGTGAGCCCCGAGGTGGCCCGATCCCTCGCCTTCGCCTCGTTCATGCAGTGGGCTCGCTGCGGGACCTACCTGTCCCAGGACTCGCCCACCTTGGCCGTCGCCTTCTTCAAATCCAGCCCGTCAATCGTTACCAATCTTCGTCCCCAGTACATTCCGCGCTGGGCCGGTCTGGGCCGCTCCCTATACAAGGGCACCTGGAAATCCAGCACGCTGGCAGCCCGGTTCTTCGAGGTCAGCCCTGACCTGGTACGCAACCTGCCCTTCTGGGACGTAGAAGTGTTCGCGTCCCTCATAGAGGCGCTGTCCTACAAGTCCTACGACGTGGCGGCCGAGTGTTTGGTTCTCGGTCGGGATGTCCTGCCAGCCATGGGACGCGAACGCGAGGCGTTCCTTTCCATGTCCCGGGCCCTGACCGACAGCAGTTGGCGCGAGGTCAAGGCCTGCCTGGAGATGGCCCCCGCGTGCCTTGCAACACGTGGAAGAGGGCCAGACTGGACGGTTCCTGCGCCTCGGCGAAAAACTCGCCAAGATGGGCCTCCGCGACACTTCCCGGTTCCTCTACGATGGCGCTCAGGCTTTGTCCCACGTTTCCGCGGGCTCGCAAGGCCACATCCTGGACCTGTGCGAGGGTTTGCTGGCCAGCACCCCCGACGCTGTCCCGCCTTTCCTCAAGAGCCTGGACCCCGTGCTCAACCGGATTACCCTGCAGCAACTTGACCAGTGGTACCAGCACGGCGTCCAACTCCTCAACGAAAACCCCGAAAGCGGCATCGCCTTCTTCAAGATCGAGTCCAATACCTCGGAATCCATGCTGGAAACCCTGTCCTCCAGCCTGGACTTGGAGCGGGTCAAGGGCATCATGCGCCTCTACACCCGCGCGCTATCCGGCGAAAACATCGAGGTGCTCAGCACCGCGGAACTGGTCCGTAAACAGATCGGCTGGGTCGATCAGGATATCGCTTCCACCGATGGAACCAAGGTCTACCTGCCGCCAGTGATCGACAACTACAACGACAAGACGCAGAACTTCGCCTGGTTCAAGGTCGTTGCCACTCACCAGGTCTCCCACCTGGAATTCGGCAGCTTCCGGTTCGCATTCGACCGGCCGGCCAACGTTTTTGATGACCGCCGCCTCCGGATGGAAGAGGCGATCCAGGCTCGCATGGAAGCCCTCCGCACCGCGACCGCCGAGCACTTCCAATTGCTGGATCCGGACGCCGCTCCGACCGTCGAAATCGGGGACGGGCCCGGTGGCACCATGCGTGTCTACACCGACATCGGCCGTTTCCTAGCCCTTTTTGAAGACCGCCGGATGGCTTTCGACTTGTTCAGCGTGCTCGAAGACTGCCGTTTGGACTATCGCATCAAGACCGAGTATCCCGGCATCCGCCGGGCGGCCCTGGACGTGCAGGGCGACGCCCTCGTCCAGCGGCCTCGCATCGAGGAACTGCCGTTGCAGGAAGCCCTGATCGAGCTGCTGGTCCACATGAGCTTGGACCGCTTTGAAGGTTTGCCCGTACCGCAGGAGTATCGGGAAGAAGCGTACATGCTCGCCCGCATCATGCATCGTCTGCGTACCGTCCGGGCGTCCATTGAGGACACCGGTGAAGCAGCCTTGAGGGCTTACGAGATAATCTCCCGCCTGCAGAACGAGCAGGAACCCGAGGACGAGTTCCAACCTGAAGACCTGGACGATCCCGGTGAATTCTCCGAAGAGGAGTACCAGGCTCTGCTCGACAAGCTACAGGCGCAGATGAGCGAGCAGGAGGGCGAGCAGGGCGAAGGGGACCCCTACGAATCGCCCGAGCCCGTCGAATACCGCGGCGATTTCAAGCCCGAGATGGTCCAGTTGCTCACTAAGCTCCAGATGGACCAGGGCGAAATGGGCGACGCCGAACCCATGACCCAGGAGGAACTCGAGCAACTGCTCCAGGACAGCGCCGAGCTTGAGCTGGACGCTCAGGAAGGCGACGTCGACCAGAGCATGGCAATGTTCGCCCAGAACATCATGAAGGAAGCCGGCGTGCCCCCGCCGTCCAACGACCCGGGACGCGGCTACGGTCCGATCCTGCACGACGACGATGGCGGCGGCGAGTTGGAGGCATTGGAACCCAAGACCTTCGTCTACGACGAGTGGGACTTCCGCGCCAACGACTACAAACCGCGCTGGTGCATCGTCAAGGAGAAGATCCTCGACGAAGGCGACCAGAATTTCTACAACGATTCCCTTCGCAATTACGCCTCGCTACTGGCACACATCAAGCGCCAGTTCGAGCTCATCATGCCGGAAACCTGGCGCAAGACCTATCGCCTGGTTGACGGCGAGGACCTCGACCTGAACGCGGCTCTTGAGGCCTGGGCCGACCTCCGGATGAACGTGCCGCCCGATGAGAAGATCTACTGGCGCCGCAATCGCATCCAACGCGACGTTGCCGTAGTCTTCCTGTTGGACATGTCCGCTTCCACCGCCGAAGCCATCGATGAGGGTCGCCATTCGGTCGACGATCGCGACGCTCCCGACGATCCGGTGGAATACATGGTGTGGCTGCGTCGGCGACGCGAGGGCTTGGTGCGCCGTCACTACAAGCGCATCATCGACCTCGAACGTGAGAGTTGCGCGCTTCTCATCAATGCCCTGGAGTCCATCGGTGACACCTACGGAATCTACGGCTTCTCCGGCTATGGCCGCGAGAACGTGGAGTTCTACGTTATCAAGGACATCGACGAGCAGTTCAACGATAAGATCAAGCGCCGCATCGACAAGGTGACACCGCTGCACGCCACCCGCATGGGTTCGGCCATCCGTCACGCCATCACCAAGCTCGACAATCAGGACGCGGCGACCAAGATCATGTTCCTGATCAGTGACGGTCGCCCGCAGGATCGCGGTTACAGCCGCGAAGGCGTGGAGAAGGAATACGCCGTCCACGACACCCACCAGGCGCTGCTCGAGGCCAAGCACAAGGATATCGTTCCTTTCTGCCTGACGGTGGACAAGGCTGGTCACGACTACCTCAAGACCATGTGCGGCGACCTCAACTACGAGGTTCTCGACGACATCTGGGCCCTGCCCGAACGTCTGCCCATGCTCTATCGGTCTTTGACCATGTAAACCCTGTCCAATACCGGTACGAAAAAGGGCGCCCGCAATTGCGGGCGCCCTCACGTTTATCACTGTACCGCTGGGTTAGGGAGATACTTCCGTGATCAGTTTACGTAACTCCGTCAGGGCCGTATTGCACGAACGCCGTTTGATCACCAAGCGGCGCGGCGGCGTCCGAAGGGGAAACTCCCGCACATCTTCCCCGTGGGCGATGGCGATGTGAATCGTCCCCGGCCGATGTCCCTCCAGTTCCTGCGGTCCCAGCACTCCGCTCAGGCCGATGCCAAAGTCCGCCGCCGTGGCAGCCCGGGCGACCAGGGCCATCACGTTGGCCGTTTCCTGGCTGACCACGCCATTCCTTTCGAGCGTTGCGGCGTCGACGCCGGCGGCAACCATCGCCTCCGGGGTGTACGCCACGTTGCCGCCTCGATACCACCGGTCGCTGTTTGGCGCTTCCGTGATGGTGTTGGCCAGGAATCCTCCGCTCACCGATTCCATGGTGGCCAGCGTCATCCCGCGCGAAACCAGTGCTGCCCCTACGGATAGCTCCGGCGTTTCGTCGTCGTAGCCCCAGACGTATGGCGCCAGCCGGTCGTGGATCGCGTCTTCAATCGGCGCGATCATCTCCCGGGCCGCGGCCTCATCGTCCGCGCGAGCGATGATCCGCAGGTGAATGCCGTCGGCCTTGGAATAGATCCCCAGATACGGGTTCTCCAGGCCGAAGTACTCGGACATTATCTCGTCCACCGAGGCCTCACCCAATCCCAACGTCTTGATGTTGCGCGTGATGGTGACCTCAGTGTCGACGATTTCCTTCAGCTTGGCGTCAATCTCGTCCTGCCACATGGCCCGATTTTCACCGGGGGGACCTGGCATACAGACGATATGCTTTTCGTCCCGCTGCGCCCACCAACCGGGAGCCGTGCCGTTTCGGTTCATGATGAACTCGGCAGACGGTATCAGGTAGGCCTGCTTGACGTTGTGACCCGGCATATCCTGGCCGCGGTTTCGGAACCACTGCCTCAGGTTCTCCAGTTCGGCCTCCTGCACCACGGGCGTCTCGCCCAGCGCCGCCGCA